TCTCCATCAAAACTCTCATCAAAACAACAAAACCCACAAAATACAAAATACAAAACTCAGATCAGGAGTTTCAATCATTTCAAATTTCCACCAAACATTTCACGACGGATCTGTTCTCTGGAAAAGTGCAGCAGGTTCCATCGTTTACAGAGCAGAGAGCAGGGCTCAGAGGACAAGAGAAACAAGAGAAAGGTACGAGTTTACAGGCTAAAGGTGCACTACGTAACCTTCTGTTGGGGCTACAGCACCTGTCTGTCTCCATGGAGATGGTGCTGTGTTTTCAGGAATGTTCCGCAGTGTAACATTGAACTAAAGTCTGTCTTTCAATTACAGGAGCTTTAAACCCTCGCGCTCTCCTCGGGGTCACACTGACCCCAAGAACTTTTTATTTCTTTCCCGCTCTCTTGAGGCGGGTCAATCAGACCCAAACATGTATTTTCTCACCTGGTGAGAATTTATTTGAAAATAAATGTTTGGGTGTGATTGACCCGCACCATGAGAGCAGGAAGAAAAAAAAAATTCTTCAGGCCAATGTGACCCCGAGGAGAGTGTGAGTGTGAAGAACAGGAGCTGTTCCTGTGAGCAGACGCTGTCACACACTGCTCTCCATTATAATATGGAAACTCGACCAAAGTCCAGGACTCACTGGAACTCGACATGTTCAGTCGGACTCAAACAAATATTTAGAACTTATGTTCGGGCTCGGGTTGAACTCAGACACATCAGCACGATAAAACATTTGAAATGTAACATTAAAAACAGCTTAAGGCCGACACACACTACAGGATTTATCAATCGTAAACAATGTTTAAATGTGCATCAAAAAGCACAGACCACAGACACGAGGAGAATCTGATGAGATTTTAAATCTGTGATCTGACAGACTGCAGCAGGATCTGTGTGTGAACCGTGGAGCACAGGACATAAATCTGTGAGCTCGATCGTGTCAGCAGTGAAACCACTCACTCTGAGACTCTTAAGGGCAAATTATAGTTATTATAGTAGTATATTGACTCATCAGACTCTGCCGCCGTCATTCATCGTTTTTGATTTATGGATCTGCGTCGAGGTCTATGCGCCATGAAGTAATTCATCACCACAACACTAAGAGGCGAGGATTTAAAACTGGGGTTCGTGTTTACAAAATGAAGCGGGAAAGCAGTAGTATCAAAAATGTCTAGAGCGGATGTAGAGACGACCAATCACAGCTCTTATTGTCTCTCTTATTGTCTGCATCGTTTCGATGTGTAGTTGTAAAATTTCAGAGGTGCACTTCAGTCGATGCAGAATCTCTGTGTCACGCACAACGATAAATTGGGCTTTAAGTGTTTAAGATCAGACTCTGCACTTCTAGTTTAGACTCAAGTCAAAACTGTGTGATTATTTTTTGTGAAATGTGGAGCAAAACTTCAGACACAGGATTTTTAAAGTGGAAAAGATTGGAGATAAAGTCGTGGGGAAGTCGAGTCACTGTCGCTAATCTGCAGCTTCATCTCGATCCGTAAACACACACGAGAGGAACTACTCCCACCTTTTTACTTTTAAACAACGACTCAAACTGGATTCACAGAGCCGTTTTGTGGTCGTTATTTGCAGAGGACAAATTCTCTGGATAATGTGGACGAGACGCTGCAGTTTAAATTTACAAATGCCTTAACGTCTTTTCAGATTTGATCACTAAGGGTAGAAAAAATCTGCACGATCCACACATGGACACAAGTTTAGTGCAGTACTGTGGAACATTTTTGGTTAAACAGTAATACCTCCACGTAGACAATCAGACGAAAGCAGAAAAGTTCCGTAGTGCACCTTTAAATGATCAGCAGCTTTGAGTAAGTCCCAGAGCAGCAGCAGGCAGAACATGCATCTCCACACATGCAGCTTCTCTCAGAGTTCTCCTGGTTTATCAAGAGTCAAACGAGACGTGAGTTCAGATGCAGAAGGTCCACACACACACACTCACACACACACACACACACACACACACACACACACACACACACACACACACACACACACACACACACACACACACACACACACACACACACACACACACGGACCTCCTCACACACACAGGAGCAACATGCAGCTGTGTTACCTTTCTCTGAAGACGCAAGATCACAGAAACCAGACAAGTGGATTAGACAGAGACTCCGAGAGACACAAACACACACACACACACACACACATACAAACACAACATACACACGCCACATAAGGGTTCGGTCAAGCAGTACCGGAGGGAAACAGGGTCAGATTTTTGACATTCAAATGTCTCTTATTCAGAAACTAGAGGAACTATTGAAATAAGTAAAGTATCAGAATGTAGGAAAGAGTTACACTCCAACAGGGTCAAGTTAAACCTGTGAGATTCTTTCAAGTTCAAGACAAAAAATTAAAAAACTCATGTCGGTAACGGAGGGAATGAAATATGCAGCACTTTTTGGTCAATAAATCCAAACAGTGATAACTCTTGGTTCTCACTTACATATCCTTAACAAACTGGTTTGAATATTTGCTTCATATAGTTTTCTACCATATGGTACAAGATTAGGTTGAAAAACCTCTGACTTTTTGACTCATGAGATTTTTTATTAAGAAAGGTCATGGTAACGGAGGGAAAAGTAACGGAGGGAAAATTGTACAAACAAGTAGAAGGTGCAGGATTTTACATCATTTGTTGCTTTTTTCTTCTGAATAACTTTAATATTACTTCAAAATGAAAGGAAACTATTTCTATAAAATATGTCAGTCCTTCCAAGAACATTTTTATCATTTTAAATACTTTTTTTTTTTTAATCATGTACCTTCATCAACAGTTCAAAGATGGAATAGATTAGTCAAAGATGAAGCTTGAAAGTGAACCTGAAGAGGATTTGCAGGTCTTTGAAATTTGGGAAATAATTTTTGTTCCATGTTTCATACATGGTCTGTTTAAAACATATGGAACTTTAGAACCAAAAATGGTACAGAAAAAAGGTGAACAGTTTCATAAACTAGAGCACATATGTATCTGTTCAATACAGTTTTATATCAGATGAATTAACTTGAAGTTTTTGCCTTGTTGTTTACTTCTGCTTGACCGGACCCATACACACACACACACACACACACACACACACACACACACACACAGACACACACACACACAGTGAGACCAGAGCTTTTCAGCACCATTATGTTTCTAATGGTGGAACAGGTGGTCTCAGACAATGGGAAGGTTTACATGAGCAGAGTAATCAGATCACCAGAGGAATCAGATAACCAATAATGAGATCTGATTTTAGTGTGTGTTTACAGCACGAGGGAAATCTGACTCTCAAAAACACCTGCTGACTAAGGCTGAGTATCAATAAGAAGTTGCCGATACGATAAATACCTCGATACAGTGAGGTTTCTGTTTGATACGATTCAAAAACTAAAGTCTAAATCATGTCTGTGATGCTAAAAGTCTTTGTTAAATCACTTCTTGTGCAAAGTTCATATGAAACACAAACATTTTAATCATAAAATAGTGAAAATGTCAAATGTGTCGCATAAACAAGTTTCCTTCCTCTGAACAAACTTTTACTTTTTACTTTTTTTTAAACAGTTACTTTGTTGAAATAAATGGATTACACGGCGGGATTTTCCTGTTTTTACATTTTGGGCTAAATCCCCCCCTTTTTTTTTTTTCAGTAATTCCACTCATCGCCAGAAACTAAACCAGGTCTAAACCAGGACTAAAACCAGGTCTAAAACCAGGACTAAAACCAGGTCTAAAACCAAGGACTAAACCAGGACTAAAACCAGGACTAAATAAAACCAGGACTAAAACCAGGTCTAAACTAGATCTAAACCAGGACTAAACCAGGACTAAAACCAGGCCTAAACTAGATCTAAACCAGGACTAAAACCAGGACTAAAACCAGGACTAAACTAGATAAACTAAACCAGGACTAAAACCAGGACTAAACTAAACTAAACCAGGACTAAAACCAGGACTAAACCAGGACTAAACTAGGATCTAAAACCAGGACTAAACCAGGACTAAAACCAGGCCTAAACTAGATCTAAACCAGGACTAAAACCAGGACTAAAACCAGGACTAAAACCAGGCCTAGATCTAAACCAGGACTAAACCAGGACTAAACCAGGACTAAAACCAGGACTAAACCAGGACTAAACCAGGACTAAACTAAAACCAGGACTAAACCAGGACTAAAACCAGGTAAAACTAAACTAGATCTAAACCAGGACTAAACCAGGACTAAAACCAGGACTAAAACTAAAACCAGGACTAAAACCAGGACTAAACTAGGACTAAAACCAGGACTAAACCAGGACTAAACCAGGACTAAAACCAGGACTAAACCAGGTAAAACTAAACCAGGACTAAACCAGGTAAACTAAAACCAGGATTAAACTAAAACAGGACTAAATCCTGCTGTGTGGACGTGTTTCTTCGTTTTCTATCAATATAATATTTTTAATTTGGTTCAGTAAAGTTTGGACTTTTTATTTTCTTTTATCAGACAAAACTTCTTATGTGAAGATTTCCTCGTCTTTGTTTCTCTACAGCAAATCAAGTAATCCAAAGTAATCAGATTACATTACTCACTTTAAGTAATTTAATGGATTACGTTACAAACTACATTCTGGTGTGTGTAATCTGTAATCTGTAGGGGATTACATTTTAAAAGTAACCTTCCCAACTCTGCCCACATCAGGATGGAGCTGACTCTGTTCACACACACCAAAGATCTGATTATAATCTGATTTCTGGAGTTATCCGATTATTGAAATGTCCCGTACACAGGTTATTTCAGTTTGCACATGCTCAGTGATACGGATTATTTACACGGACACAGAAAACACGGCGACGGCGGCGGAGACACGAACGCGGAAACTCAGAGGCTCTTCTGTTGCCGTGACAACAAATTCAGCGTGTCTTATCGCAATGAGCCGAAGCCGATTGGAGGACAGACTCGGTGAAGCGTCCGCCCGCAGAGTCAGCCGTGTCCAAAACAAACGCTGCAGGGGTCAGGGGTCACGCGACGCTCTACAAACATCACACCAGCCTTAAGACGACTTTACAACCACGAGACGACAACAGGGTGACCATATTTCTGTTTGTGAAAACCCGGACACCTTGAGGGAGGGGAGGGTCTCACCGTTTCTCAGATTTTTTTTTCTTTGTGCAATTTTTTTTTTTGTGCTTTTTTTTTTTTTTTTTTTTACAGCATATGAACGCGTATTGTGTATTACAGGCGGGTAGTAATTACACACGGGTGGGTCAGGACTAAACCAGGTCTAAACCAGGACTAATCTTGGACTTAAAGGTTGTATGGAGGATTTTTTTTTAGTTTCAAACTGTCAGTGAAAGATTAAAACACCATTACAGAGACGCAGCAGCTTTGTAATTATGAGGACCAAAAAAGAAAGAACGAAAATCTATCAACTGTGGACGTGTTGAGGCCAGATAAACATCAGCCAATAGAAAACAAGGCTCCCTCATTTTCTATTGGCTGTTAGGTTGTCAATCAAACTCCCTAGTATAATTGACTCGTCGGAGCGCGGGGATTATGTGGTTTATGCTTTTTCGAACTGTCGCTTCCTCGCATTTCGCACAAAGTTTGTCGCGACGGCGGACGAGAATCTACGACCGGTTCGCCGCAAAACAAAGTCCGTTTTTGAGGTCGCTGAAAGAAGAAGAGAAGAGGAAAAGGAGCAAAGCCAAACTGAGGTGATTCTTGGAGATCTCGTCCAGCGATTTCACGACCGAAGCAGACGAAGGGTCTAAAAACTGACGCGTCGGTCGCTGAATTACTTCTAGACAGGAAACTTCAACAGTAATTCTGAACGCGCACAAGGACTGTCGCTGTATTTCTCTTCCCTTAAAAAAATCCTCTATACAACCTTTAAGAGAGAAAACGCTGAGCAGTTTGTCCGCAAAGCGCGATCGGGCAATTGCCGCGTTTAACTCCGTGAGGTGTGGACCTGAGCCGGTTCTTTCTCCTGCGTCACCTCCGAGCCCGTCCTGACACTGAGTCCTGGTTCAGTTCTGGTTTAGTCCTGGTTCAGTCGTGGATTAGTCCTCCTCTTCAGTCCTGGAATCAGTCCTGGTTTAGTCCTGGTTTAGTCTTGGTTCAGTCTGTGGCGTAGGCAGCGCAAAGGTTTGATATAATCTTCGGGTTAACGGGCAGGTGCAGGTCCTGTTGTACCTGGGGGTCTCCAAAAATGGACCTGTGCAGGACTCTGTGCTGTTGGGCTCCATTATGGAATAAATAAATCTTCAGTTCGTTACATAAAGAAGGAGGAAAATAACAAAAGGACGACAGCAGCAACAAGTTTTAAGAAGGAAGTAAAAAGTGTTGCACCTGTCGATCCTGTCTGAGAAAAGTGTATAAAGTTTGTGCTGAGGTTTTACAGACTTAAAACAGATAGAATAATTGTAAAATATAAAGTTGATACTTCGTGGATTTCATCTGTCGCAGGTTATTTTTAGAACATAACCCCCACGATAAACGAGGGACACTGTCCTCTCACCTCAACCTGTGCACATGGACTCACACTTGTCTCGACCGGGACGGAAAACGGAGAATTTCTTGTACAAGTCGTTGTTAAATGTGCATTTGTGCTTCGGTGTGTTTCAGTCTGACCGACTGTTTGTGTCTCGCTCCTTCTGAGTCACAGACGCTACGAGAGACGCTCAGTTTAATGAACGGTACTGAAAACCTGGACATTTGCATCACTTTATAAAAAAAAACCCGGACGCCCAGGACAGGAAGCAAAATACGGACATGTCCGGGGAAAAAGGGACGTTTGGTCGCCCTAGACTACAAGCATTAGCCGCTAATCTGCTAACGTCTGCGCTAAGGTCCCACCTGCTCCTCCCTCCGGATCGACGGGGAAAAGGAAAGTTATTGTGAGTCAACTGCACAGATCTGACACGTGTTTTAAAATGATAAAAAGGTAAATACAGTAATTTTGAAAAAGAAATCAAACGAAATAAAAGCACAAACACTTACAGTTGGGAGTTCGGAGTCGGCCTTACGAGACGACAGCAGCCTGTAGGTCGTCAGGTTATTCTCAAAACTCCTGAAACACACGAGAAGAAGATCAACACGAGCGTCAATCACCTCTGATCCTCTGAGCCTCTGAGCCGCTCCTCTTCCTCTGCATTGATGAAGCTATAAATACATGAAATCAATCAAAACAACATAAAACTGAATAAGCATTGATTTCCTATGACACACATCACACACACACACACAAACACACACAAACACACACACACAGACACACACACACACACACACACACACACACACACACACACACACACACACACACACACACACACACACACACACACACACACACACACAGACACACACACACAAACACACACACACACACACACACACACACACACACACACACACACACACACACACACACACACACACACACACACACACACACACACACACACACACACACACACACACACACACACACACACACACACACAACACACACACACACACACACACACACACAACACACACACACACACACACACACACACACACACACACACACACACAGACACACACACACAACACACACACACACACACACACACACACACACACACACACACACACACACACAGACACACACACACACACACACACACACAAACACACACACACAAACACACACACACACACACACACACACACACAACACACACACACACACACACACACACACACAGCAGTGTAGTGGAGTAACAGATTACATGTACTGCAGTTATGTAATCAAAATATAAATGATGAGTAACTGTATTCAGTTACAGTTACTGTTTCAGTGAGTGGGAATTGGATTACAGTTACTTTGTTGAAATAAATGGATTACACGGCGGGATTTTCCTGTTTTCACATTTTGGGCTATATTTGTTTTTTGTTTTTTTGTTTTTTTTCAGTAATTTCACTCATTGCTGGACACTAAACCAGGACTAAACCAGGTCTAAACCAGGTCTAAACCAGGTCTAAACCAGGTCTAAAACAGGATTTAACAGGACTAAATCCTGCTGTGTGGACGTGTCTCCTCGTCTTCTATCAATAATATTTTTAATTTGGTTAAGTAAAGACTTTTTTATTTTCTTTTAGCAGATAAAACTTCTTATGTGAAGATTTCCTGGTCTTTGTTTCTCTACAGCAAATCAAGTAATCCAAAGTATTCAGATTACATTACTCACTTTAAGTAATTTAATGGATTCTGTTACAAACTACATTTTGGTGTGTGTAATCTGTAATCTGTAGGGGATTACATTTTAAAAGTAACTTTCCCAACACTGTCCACACGCAAACAAGTGTCTGTGAGGGAAACGTGAGGCAGTTGTTTCCTCTGCTGTTTCCCTTTTACTGCTAACGCTAATGCTAGTGCTAATGCTAATGCTACACATCAGAGCAGGTACCTTCCCCGGAGTTGGACGGCCTCCTCAAACTTCTTCTCGTCCATGGCCTTCTGCACCTTCTGAGTCTGAGCACAAACAGAAACAGGTCACCTTCTTGTGGCTCTTGTGGCTCTTGTGGCTCTTCTGGCTCCTTCGGCTCTTACCATCTGCACACACTCCATGAGGGGGAGTCTGACGGCCTGGTTCCCCACGAGAGACACCACACAGGCGGGTGTGTCTGAGGACGCCTCCAGGAGAGCCAGAACAGCCTCCACGCCCATACGGCTCGCCTGGACACAACATATACACAAATATATATACAAATATATATATATATACAAATATATATACAAATATATATACAAATATATACACAAATATATATACAAATATATATACACAAATATATATACAAATATATACAAAATATATACAAATATATATCATATATATACAATATATATATATATATATATATATATATATATATATATATATATATATATATATATATATATATATATATATATATATATATATATATATATATATATATATATATATAGCACAAGTAAATTGGCTAAAAGTAATATTTTTGCAGTTTAATCAGAAATGTGTTGGCCGTGTTAAAGTTTAGGACGACTGACCGTCCCTCTGTCGTTCAGTAGAGAGTCATAGAACCATAGTTACATTAGTAACTCTTGTTTTAAGATTGAACTAAATTTGGTCTAATTTTTCTCAAATAGAAGATTTTTTATTTTATTAATTTATTTGTTTATGTTTATCAAACAAAGTTTAATTTGAAATGATATTTTCCTTGATTCTGTGTCATAAATAAACTTTTAATAATTTAAAGGAATCTAAAGATAACAAAACAATCTAAAAATCTTTGTATTATGACATTTGAACATTATAATTTCCTAAAGAAGTTGTGATAGTTTTTATTTTTCCTAAACAGTGAAGAGTGAAGTGTGAGTCTGACCAGGATGCGGTCGAAGGCAGACGGGGTTCCTCCTCTCTGAACGTGGCCCAGGATGGTCACTCTGGTGTCGAAGCCCAGACGACTCACCACCAGCTGAACACAACAGGAAGATTATTATTATATTTATATTTATATACAATATATATGCACTGTAAATGTATAAAAATATCACACAGACTCAACACCAACTGAACAAATAATATCACCTGTTATATATTTATGAAAAATCTCTTCATGTGATATTACAGATAAACATACATGTAAAATCACACAGAGACACTTAGACCAGGGGTTTGTAGAAGTACACAGGTGCAAAAACTACTGCTATAACCACTACTGCTTCTACACTACTACTACTACCACTATTAGTAGTCGTAGTATTAGTATAGTAGTAGTAGTAGTAGTACTATGACACCCTGAGGTCTGTACTCACATCCTTGATGTTTTCGGCGGTGATGTTTTTGCTGTGGCGGTCGATGGCGCCTTCAGCCACGATGATGATGTTCAGACGCTTTTTATCCACACGATTCTGCACAAAGAGACAGTTCTGTTAGACCAACTCCTCCACACAAGACCAGGTCTGAACCAGGACTGAACCAGGACTAAACCAGGTCTGAACCAGGTCTAAACCAGGACTAAACCAGGACTGAACCAGGACTGGACAAACCAGGACTAAACAGGACTAAACCAGGACTGAACCAGGACTAAACCAGGACTAAACCAGGACTAAACCAGGACTAAAACAGGACTGAACCAGGACTGAACCAGGTCTGTGTTGTGTGTTATTGTATGGTGGTGGTTGGAGGGGCAGAGCCTCAGTTCTGTCAGTCTGCCCCGGGGCAGCTGTGGCCACAGACGTGTTTTATGTCACTGTGTGTCAGTGACTGGTCGAGTGCGTTCGGTGGATTAAACATGATCAACCTGTACAAAGTTGCGATGTGTAAAACCAGCCGTACAAAACTAAAATTATTATTGTTGTTTATTTGTTTGTTTGTTTGTTTGTTTGTTTTGTTCTCACCTCAGAGAGTTTCTGGCACAGACTGTCCTCCCAGCCGTCCTCAGGAGGCATCTCAGGGATAAACACCCAGTCTGCCCCACAGGCCAGAGCACTGACCAGGGCCAGATACCTGTATATACAAACAATATATACATATACATATATAACTATTATTAACATATAACTGAGACCAGGGCCAGATATTTACATGTAAAATAATAAACAAAAACTATTATAAAGATCATTCTCAATAAATCCATTACACCACTAAATAAACTATGTTTGTATAGATCAAACTCAGATCACATTGTGTTTACATTATATATGTTGGTATAGACTCTTATGACATTATATTTGTACATGATATATGTTTGTATAGACTCACACACCCGCAGTGACGTCCCATCACCTCCAGCACAAAGGTTCTCTGGTGACTGCAAACACAAACATAAAGAAAAACATGAAAACAGAGACTCTTGATTCTTTATTCTCTGTCCCCTGTGTGTGTTATAAACATGCAGATGTGTTCAGGACGGTGGCTCAGAGTGGACACACTTAATATTAATGAATAAAAAAAAACATCTTAATGATATTTCTGTGGTCGGTCTCCCTCACATCCTGTCTGCTCTTCTCTCCATTAAACCAGTTTATAAACCCAGGTCATAAATCACTTTTAACTGTTCTGACTTTATAAAACACTTACTCATGTTTGAAAGTAGTAGTAGTAGTGTAATAGTAGCAGCAGTAGTAGTAGTTGTAGTAGTAGTAGTAGTGAAATAGGGGTTCTGAAGTGAACTGTGTAGCGGGTACAATATCTCTGAAGGAAGAGGGTCTGGAGGTCTGAGGGTCTGAGGGTCTGAAGGTCTGGAGGTCTAGGAGTCTCTGGGGGTCTGGAGGTCTGAGGTTCTTATGGTCTGAGGGTCTCAGGGTCTGGAGGTCCGAGGGTCTGGAGATCCGAGGGTCTGGAGATCTGAGGGCCTGGAGGTCTGGAGGTCTTAGGGCCTGGGGGTCTGAGAGTCTGAGGGTCTGGAGGTCTGAGAGTCTGAGGGTCTGGAGGTCTGAGAGTCTGAGGGTCTGGAGGTCTGAGAGTCTAAGGGTCTGGAGGTCTGAGAGTCTAAGGGTCTGGAGGTCTGAGAGTCTAAGGGTCTGGAGGTCTGAGAGTCTGAGGGTCTGGAGGTCTGAGGGTCTGAGGGTCTGAGGTCTGAGGGTCTGGGGTCTGAGAGTCTGAGGGTCTGGAGGTCTGAGAGTCTGAGGGTCTGGAGGGTCTGGAGGTCTGAGAGTCTGGAGGGTCTGGAGGTCTGAGAGTCTAAGGGTCTGGAGGTCTGAGGGTCTGGGGGTCTGAGAGTCTAAGGGTCTGGGGGTCTGAGAGTCTGAGGGTCTGGAGGTCTGAGAGTCTGAGGGTCTGGAGGTCTGAGAGGTCTGAGGGTCTGGAGGTCTGAGAGTCTAAGGGTCTGGAGGTCTGAGGGTCTGGGGGTCTGAGAGTCTGAGGTCTGAGGGTCTGGTCTGGAGGTCTGAGAGTCTGAGGGCCTGGAGGTCTGAGAGTCTGAGGGTCTGGAGTCTCTGAGAGAGTCTGGAGGTCTGAGGTCTGAGGGGGGGGTCTGAGAGTCTGGAGGTCTGAGGAGTCTGAGGGGCTGGGGTCTGAGAGTCTGGGGGTCTGGAGGTCTGAGAGTCTGAGGGTCTGGAGGTCTGAGAGTCTGGAGGTCTGAGGGTCTGGAGGTCTGAGGGTCTGGAGGTCTGAGGGTCTGGAGGTCTGAGAGTCTGGAGGTCTGAGAGGTCTGAGGGTCTGGAGGTCTGAGAGTCTGAGGGTCCTCTCCCAGAAAATGTTCATCAAAACGTGTATAAGTTCTGTGATATTTTACAGTGAAACATTTGTGTAGTTTTGTGTTGATGTTATAGAAACTGTTGTGTGGGGTCATGATGTAGTAGCAGCAGTAGTAGTAGTAGCAGTAGTAGCAGTAGTAGTATTTGTAGTATTTGTAGTATTTGTAGTATCTGTAGTACCTCTGGGCCGTGGTCATGATGGCGTCCACCACCTCGATGATTCGGTGCAGGGCGGAGTCGGTGCCGATGGTCATGTCGGTGCCGCAGAAGTCATTGTCTATGGAACCCACCATCCCCACGATGTGAAGAACGGAGTTACTGTCCACGGCCGACTGATCGATCAGACCTGAAAGACGACAAGAAGAACAGAGGAAGAGGAGGAGAGGAAGAGGAGAGGAAGAGGAGCAGTCAGGAGCAGTGGGACCATCTCCAGATCTTGAGCTGGTCTTGGTCAGGACCTGAGCTGAAGGACCTGAAGTTTGTGTTTCGGTTTAATGGAGGAAGAAACATCAGTACCTTACTCCTCCAGCTGTTCCACTCCTCTCTGAACAATAGTAGTACTATTTGTAGTAGTAGTATTTGTAATATTTGTAGTAGTAGTAGTAGTACCTTGGTCCCTCAGCTCACTCAGCAGTCCACTCCACTCTTCTCTGAACAGTATTTGTAGTAGTAGTAGTAGTAGTACCTTACTCCTTCAGCTGTTCCACTCCTCTCTGAACCATAGTAGTACTATTTGTAGTAGTAATATTTGTAGTAGTAGTAGTAGTAGTAGTAGTAGTAGTAGTACCTTGGTCCCTCAGCTCCCTCAGCAGTCCACTCCACTCTTCCCTGAACAGTATTAGTTGTAGTATTTGTAGTATTTGTAGTATTTGTAGTATTTGTTGTAGTAGTACCTTGGTCCCTCAATAGTCTGCTCCACTCTTCTTTGAGCAGTAGTAGTAGTAGTAGTAGTAGTATTTGTAGTAGTAGTAATATAAGTACTTTGGTATCTGAGCTCACTCAGCAGTCCACTCCATTCTTTCCTGAACAGTATTAGTACTAGCAGTTGCAGTATTTTATTTGTAGTAGTAGTAGTACCTTGCTCCCTCAGCAGTCCACTCCACTCTTCTCTGAACAGTATTTATAGTATTTGTAGTATTTGTAGTAGTAGTATAAGTACCGTGGTCCCTGAGCTCGTCCAGCAGTCTGATCCACTTTTCTCTGAACAGTATTAGTATTTGTAGTATTTGTAGTATTTGTAGTAGTACCTTGGTCCCTGAGCTCACCAGGCAGTCAGCTCCACTCTTCTCTGAACAGTATTTGTAGTATTTGTAGTATTTGTAGTATTTGTAGTAGTATAAGTACCTTGGTCCCTGAGCTCCCTTAGCAGTCCGCTCCACTCTTCTCTATGAACAGTATTTGTAGTATTTGTAGTAGTAGTAGTAGTAGTAGTAGTAGTACCTTGGTCCCGGAGCTCGCCCAGCAGTCCGCTCCACTCTTCTCTGAACAGGTTGGCTCCGGTCAGACTCCCGTCTCCTCCGATCACGCACAGGTTTGTGATTTGTCTCTGGACGAGGTTCAGCGCCGCGCGGAGTCGTCCTTCGTGAGTGCGGAACTCTTTACAACGCGCACTGCCGATCACCGTCCCCCCCTGCAGGACGGGAGGGGAACAAACGATATATAAAACTAAAGTAAAGTGAACTCCATTGTTTGTACGTTTAGATTACTTCAGTTTGTGATGCTGTTTTAATATTAGCGTTAGCATTAGCATTGAGACAGTATTCACTTCATATTTTAATCTTTAATCTTTAATCTAATTTTAATCTTTGTTGTCAGTGACGTCCACCCACAGCTCCTGGACGACTCTGTTATCTTTAAACATTTACTAAATTAATTTACTATTTATTATTTCAAAAACACATGACAGGAAGTGGTGACGCTCACACATAAAGCCAGGCAGGAAGTGGTGACACTCACACAAACTCATAGACAGGAAGTGGTGATGCTCATACAAACTCATAGACAGGAAGTGGTGACGCTCACATATAAAGCCAGGCAGGAAGTGGTGACACTCACACAAACTCATAGACAGGAAGTGGTGACGCTCATACAAACTCATAGACAGGAAGTGGTGACGCTCACATATAAAGCCAGGCAGGAAGTGGTGACACTCACACAAACTCATAGACAGGAAGTGGTGACACTCATACAAACTCATAGACAGGAAGTGGTGACACTCATACAAACTCATAGACAGGAAGTGGTGACGCTCACATATAAAGCCAGGCAGGAAGTGGTGACACTCACATATAAAGCAGGCAGGAAGTGGTGACACTCACACAAACTCATAGACAGGAAGTGGTGACGCTCATACAAACTCATAGACAGGAAGTGGTGACGCTCATATAAAGCCAGGCAGGAAGTGGTGACGCTCACATAAAAGCAGGCAGGAAGTGGTGACACTCACACAAACTCATAGACAGGAAGTGGTGACGCTCATACAAACTCATAGACAGGAAGTGGTGACGCTCATACAAACTCATAGACAGGAAGTGGTGACGCTCACATATAAACCTGGGCAGGAAGTGGTTATGCTCACACACACGTGGAAAGGAAGTGAGGACGCTAACACATACTCATGGACAGGAAGTGGTGACGCTCACACACACACCTGGGCAGGAAGTGGTGACGCTCGCACACACATAGACAGGAAGTGGTGACGCTCACACACACACACACACACACACACACACACACACACACATACACACATACACCTGGACAGGAAGTGGTGACGCTCACACACACACCTGGGCAGGAAGTGGTGACGCTCACACACAAACCTGGACAGGAAGTGGTGACGCTAACACACACAAACCTGGACAGGAAGTGGTGATGCTCACACACACATGGACAGGAAGTGGTGACACTCACTCAAACTCATAGACAGGAAGTGGTGACGCTCACACACACACACACACACACACACACACCTGGACAGGAAGTGGTGACGCTCACACACACACCTGGACAGGAAGTGGTGACGCTCACACACACACCTGGACAGGAATTGGTCATGCTCACACACACACACACACACCTGAACAGGAAGTGGTCACGCTCACACACACACCTGGACAGGAAGTGGTGACGCTCACGCCCACTTGGAAAGGAAGTGGTGACACTCACAGTGAGGTGCTGCCACAGGCTGTTTACAAATACCTTATCTGAGCAAACCTGTGCAAAACCTGGACTAAACCTGGACGAAAACTGGAATAAACTTGGGGTAAAACTGGGCTAAACCTGGACTAAACCTAGACTAAATCTGAACGAAAACTGGACGAAAACAGGACTAAACCTGGAATAAATTTGGGCTAAAACTGGACTAAATCTGGACTTAAACTGGACCAAACCTGGACTAAACCTGGACTAAACCTGGAATAAACCTGGAATAAACCTGGACTAAAACTGGACTAAACCTGGACTAAACCAGGACTAAACCAGGACTAAACCAGGACCAAACCTGGACTAAGCCTGGACTAAACTTGGACTAAAACTGGACTAAAACTGAACTAAAACAACACTAAACCTGGATTAAAACTAGACCAAATCTGGACCAAACCTGGACTAAACCTGGTCTTAAACTGGACTAAAACTAGACTAAAACTGGACTTAAGTTAGTTTAAACCTGGAGTGAACTGTCTGTAAACTCGACCTCGTCTGTGATCTTTGGTCCTTGATCAAAAATAAAAAAAATAAAACCTCGTACCACTTGTAACATGCTGGAGACACTTTCCCACGACGCCTCTTGGATGTTGTCTCCTCCGTCCACCATCCCCTGGTAACCCTGACGACGGAAAAGTACAGCACGTGGCATTAGTAAAAAAAAAAAAAAAAAAAAAAAAAAACAGAGTCTGAGTTGAGTTTAGTGTGTGTGTGTTTCGTTCCGTCTCACCTCGTGGATGAAATACATTTTGGCTCCGACGTACAGCCCCATACGGACGGCAGCCCGGACCGCCGCGTTCATCCCTGAAAACAACACACGGGAAAACAAGAAAACAACAAGTAAACAACCAGTAAACAACAAATAAACAACAAGTAAACAACCAGTAAACAACAAATAAACAACGGAGAAAACAACAAATAAACAACGAGTAAACAATGAGAAAACAATGAGAATACAGCAAATAAACAACAAGAAAAGAATAAGTAAACAACAAATTAAATAAACAACACGAAAACAACAAATAAAAATGTCAATAATAAACAAACATGACAGGGTTCACTCTGAAAACAAAGTATTTTTGATGAGATGATCTTTACAGTTTTCTTTTCAGAACTTCAAGTTGTGTTTTGCTTCATTCATACATTTTATAACCTAGTTGTAGTAGTAGCAGTAGTAGCAGTAGTAGTTGTAGTAGTAGTAGTCGTAGTAGTCGTAGTAGTAGCAGTTGTAGCAGTAGTAGTAGTAGTCGTAGTAGTCGTAGTAGTCATAGTAGTAGTAGTAGTAGTAGCAGTAGTAGTTGTTGTTGTAGTAGTAGCAGTAGTAGCAGTAGAAGCAGTAGTAGTAGTAGTAGCAATAGTAGTAGTAGTAGTAGTAGTAGTAGTAGTAGTAGTAGTAGTAGTCAGCAGTAGTAGCAGTAGTAGCAGTAGTAGTAGTAGTAGTAGCAGTAGTAGCAGTAGTAGTAGCAGTAGTAGTAGTAGCAGTAGTAGCAGTAGTAGTAGTAGTAGTAGTAGCAGTAGTAGCAGTAGTAGTAGTAGTAGTAGCAGTAGTAGCAGTAGTAGTAGTAGTAGTAGTAGTAGTAGTAGTAGTAGTAGTAGTAGTAGTAGTAGTAGTAGTAGTAGTAGTCTAAGTAAGTAAGTCTTAGTCCATTTTATCAAGTCAAGTCTCAACTCATAAAAATAGTGACTCAAGTCCAAGTCAAGACTTGCAAGTCCCACCTCTGGCCATAGTAGTAGTAAAAGTAGTAGTAGTTGTTGTTGTAGTAGTAGTAGCAGTAGTAGCAGTAAGTAGTAAAAGTAGTAGTAGTAGTTGTAGTAGTAGAAGGAGGAGTATTAGTTTCTCTGTGTCATAATGATGTAGTAGTTGTAGTAGTAATAGTAGTAGTTTAATTGTATGATTTTCTAACTTTCAGTCATGATGCAGTAGAAGTACATAGTTGGGTGAATTTCTTATAGTAGTGGTAGTAGTAGTAATAGTAATAGTAGTAGTAGTAGTAGTAGTAGTAGTAGTAGTAGTAGTAGTAGTAGTAAGAAGATAAGTAGTATCAGGAGTATTTTTAGTTGTTTTGTAGAGATCATGACTAAACTGAACTTGTGAGTTTCTGGTTGGTGTGAGAACAGTTGAACCACTTTCACTGTGAGGCCATGTTCCAGATTAGAGCATTAAGAAAGAAGAAAGGAAGAAAGAAAGAAAGAAAGAAAGAAAGAAAGAGAGATAGAGAGATAGAGAGATAGAGAGATAGAGAGATAGAGAGATAGAGAGATAGAGAGATAGAGAGATAGAGAGATAGAGAGATAGAGAGTGTATTCAAGCAGAGCCAGATCTGAGAGCCAAGACGTTCATCAGGAGAAAGATCTGAATCTGAGCCAGAGTCTGAGAGAAAAAGAAACAACAAAAACACAAAACAAGATCCTCTGACCCTCTCCTCTTCATCCTCTGACCCTCTTCATCCTCTGACCCTCTTCATCCTCTGACCCTCTCCTCTTCATCCTCTGACCCTCTTCATCCTCTGACCCTCTCCTCTTCATCCTCTGACCCTCTTCTTCATCCTCTGACCCTCTCCTCTTCATCCTCTGACCCTCTCCTCTTCATCCTCTGACCCTCTTCATCCTCTGACCCTCTCCTCTTCATCCTCTGACCCTCTCTCTTCTCTCCTCTGACCCCTCTCCTCTCATCCTTTGACCCTCTCTCTTCTCCTTGACCCTCTCTTCATCCTCTGACCCTCTCCTCTTCATCCTCTGACCCTCTTCATCCTCTGACCCTCTCCTCTTCATCCTCTGACCCTCTCCTCTTCATCCTCTGACCCTCTCCTCTTCATCCTCTGACCCTCTCTTCTTCATCCTCTGACCCTCTCCTCTGACCCTCATCTCTGACCCTCTCTTCTTCCTTCGACCCTCTTCTCTTCTGACCTCTCTCTTCATCCTCTGACCCTCTCCTCTTCATCCTCTGACCCTCTCTTCTTCTGACCCTCTTCATCCTCTGACCCTCTCTTCCTCTGACCCTCTCCTCTTCATCTCTGACCCTCTCTGACCCTCTCTTCTGACTCTCTCTGACCCTCTCTTCTTCTGACCCTCTCTTCCTCTGCTCCATCTCATTTATCAGATATATTTATTTTTTCATGTGGGCCTATTCAAAATAGTCATTTTCCCTCACGTGACTCCTCTTTCTGTTTTCTGTGTAAACCTCTCGCTGTGGAACAAACAGAACAGATCACGTGACCCGTGGCCTTTTCTTTGGTCTCTGGGGCCCCGGGCCTCTGGTCACTCAGGTCACTCTGCACTCGATTACGTCACGCTCCATAAGATGCTCCCAGGAGGCGCACACACAATAACACACCTATTACACTACAGCCTATTACATTACGGCCTGTTACACTAGAGCCTATAATGTCATCCTCCTGCACGTGCACTCGAACAGAACACTCCGTACCACCGGGTTCGGCATCCGATACGCTTTTTTTTTTTTTTTATTGACTGGTTTCAGGTGACGTCACGTGACATGTCAGTGAGGTGAGGGCAGGTGAGGAGAGGCTTTTTTTTTTTTTTTTTTTGGACGGTCCCTTTAACCGGAATCTGAGCCGACGACACCCGGAGCTACTGTCCGTGACCTGACGCACTCCGCTCCGGCCGTGTCCGGAGGTGACGTCACGGCGCTGCGGTAACGGTCACTCTCCTCCCCTGACGATGATGATGATGATGATGATGATGCTCCCCCCGGTCCGGTCCCGGTATAGGCCGCATCAGAAGCGCTCGAGGCACTCCGAGAAACTCCAGTCACGACTCTCCCCCAGTGACGTCAGCGCGCGCCCTCTCCTAGATCCGAACCAAACCGAATTTCCACGAAGCTGATGCCAAAAACCGATCAGCTTTTTTTTTTTTTTTTTTTTTTTTTTCCAAATAGAAGTTTGTAAATGATTTTTGGGGACGAGATGAGAGCGCACCTTCAGCCGCGTCATCGATCACGTGACCAAACTTTAGCTACAAACTTATCGTAAAATCATCCTAAATGACCCGCGCTGCTGATTGGCTCTATCTGTCACCCCGCTGTCTCTAACGTGAGGTGCGCGGGTCCTGCTCCACGTCGGCATCCCGTGCGTAAACCAGCGTAAATGTTGGCATCACCCCCCGCGCGTAACCAACCAACGTAAAGCGAATGGCATGTGAATAATTCAGGGCGCGCTCGGGTCACTTGTTGATGGAGCCGCTCTGGTCCGGGTCGGGGGCTCGAGTCTCGTCATCGCACCCCAACCGGACCGGGACGAGGCACGCGCACTCCGAGTTATTTGGGGCACGTGAAGGTTACGACCTTGGCAAAGCATCGGGCAAAACAGGAGACACTGAACGGAGACGGAGTGTTGCGTAACCGCGGATGAATCAACACAAACACCAGCGGGGATTAAAACCAATAGGCTGTAGAGAAAATGTATAGGCCTATGCTATAAACACGTAAAAGATGTTACGTGCACGAGCTTTACGCGTAACGTCAGGTGCGTCTGGTTTTGGAACACTTTGTCACTTGCGCCAAAACGCAGGTGGACATAAGATTTAGTTAATAATAAATTAGATTCCGTGCGTAAAAGGACAGGATGTACATGTTTGGCACGTTTGGCACATTTTGGCACATTTGGCACGAACTGTTTTATGCACGTTTTTAACGAATGCGTCAATTAAAAGTGCACATTTTGGCACGTACCTTGGGCATCTCCTCCGCTGGTGAGCACCCCGATGGATTTTCCATCTCCGGACAGATTCTCGAAAAATTTCCTGGTGTCCTGGCGCTTCGGGGGGGCGTTGTTGGCCATGTTCGGCGCGGAGGCAGCGGACTGCGGGCAGAGGAGCCGAGGAGGAGCCGCGGAGGAGCCGTGGAGGAGCCGCCGAGGAGGAGCCGTGAGAAACAGACGGGGCAGAGGAGCGGGAGAGGCCGAGGTGCGCTCCGTGTGAGTGAGTCGGCTCTGCAGCAGCACGCACACGCACACGCACGCACACGCCCACCGCGCTGGACCACTCCGCAGAGATCGTGTGTGGACGAAGAGGCGGGACTACGAACCTCACCGAAGAACTCTGAGAAATGATAAAATAAAAGGTTTAAGGATGATTTGTGAATTCAGTTTGTCGTATTTAAAACTAAATGAATCAGAAAGTCTCGTTGGACCTGGAAACACATTTTGAGTTGTTCAAACACTTAATAAATAGTTTTTGCAAGTCAGAATTCACTTGTGACTTTATTGTGTTTCATCAAAACGATTAAAACATAAAATGAGTGTTTTATAAATCACATGTGGACATATAAATATAAAAATATAAAATATTCTAAAAATACAATTCTTAGTTTTTGCCTCATCAGGTCCAAATAACAAAGAGAAATCAACAAAACCTGCAAGAGTTTGGGTCTTAGGAGGTTAAAGACGAAGTAAAATCTAACTTTTTTGGTGGAGAGATCGACCGCCTGCTTGTTTCCATGGATACGGCTGATTATGTCTTTGCTTGATATGTTCCGCAGTGGTGCATTAGTGGTATTACAAACCCTCTGCAGAGACAAGAGGATTTTTAAGCGATTAATAAAAAAAAAAAAAACTCTCAAATGAAATGAAAAAGATCCATTATTCACATTCCATTTACATCATTTCGTTTTAATTAATATTTACAGTTTTAAAAGTTTAAAGATGAAATTGGATTGTGTTTGTTTTAAAGTTGTTAGAGTTGCTTTAATATAAACAAGATCTTTATTTTTTTGTGCAGACGGAAAGAAGATTGTAGCAAAATCTGGAGCAGAGCGTTTTTTGTCTGTATTTGTTTGTATTTTACCTAAACAAATGACAGTTTATGTTTCTCTTTACTGTTGCAGGATCAAATTGATCAAAAATAGAAACATCTGGGATTTTTCTTACATAAAACTGGGACAAATCAGTGGTTTTGGGGACACAGGATCAAAACTGGGACTGTCCCGGGTCAACAGGGACGTCTGGTCATTAGGGTGAATAATTTGCTCAATTAAAAAAAAAATTTTTTTTATTTTTAATTTTTTTGAAAATCAATCTGTACTTAGAATGATTTTTTTTAGACTTGCCAAAGCAAAGTTCCGTGAGAAATTTCATGAAATTCTTGATGTTTACTGAGTCCATGAAGTTTAACACCTGTGGCCTTAAACCTGAGCTGAAACATCATTTAAAACAAAACATTCTTTATTCTTTCTGGAAACTTGTGTTGACCAAAACCTGAGCTGCACCTGTCACTGAGCCGTACCTGTCATTGAGACGCACCTGTCACTGAGCTGTGCACCTGTCACTGAGCCGTGCACCTGTCACCTGTCACTGAGACCTGTCACCTGTGCACCTGTCACTGAGCCGTGCACCTGTCACTGAGCCGTACCTGTCACTGTCACTTGAGCTGCACCTGTCACTGAGCCGTGCACCTGTCACTGAGCCGTGCACCTGTCACTGAGCTGTGCACCTGTCACAGAGCCTTGCACCTGTCACTGAGCTGTGCACCTGTCACTGAGACGTGCACCTGTCATTGGGACGCACCTGTCACTGAGCCGTGCACCTGTCACTGAGCCGTGCACCTGTCACTGAGCCGTGCACCTGTCACTGAGCCGTGCACCTGTCACTGAGCCGTGCACCTGTCACTGAGACGCTCTGGTGACGTCACTTACTCCACTTTTTTCTACAGTCTGTGACACGACAGAAAGAACAAACTTTATGTCTCTCATTTCATCTTTGGACTTTGTGGATTTTGGATCATTATGGAAAAAAAAAACAAAAAACACTCAAAATCTTAACAAAATTTTCATATCTTAGAAAGTTATGAGGATAGAGATACAAAATTTGTACCAAAAGATACACAACAGCAACATTTACATTCCACTTTCACTGACACCGTGGCCCCATATTTATTTATTTTTAAAGTTATTTGAGAAAAACTGATTTTTCTGCCAGAGTTTTACGGACACTGTTTGGATGGAACTTCAGAGTCTTGTTGGACCCAGTAGATTTTATTCAATCAAGCAAATATTCCACAGATTTTCTTTTAACTGATATCGTCACATTTTAAAATTGGGTGCAAGTTGAATTTCTGACACTGGGCCAAATGATTCATCCTTCTGGTCGCTCTAGAATAAATGCGCCGCGTGTTTTAGATTGGTGTAAATCTGTGTCTGCGGTGAGTTCAGCCCGCGGGAGTGAGCGCTCTGTCTCCATCCGCTCATCTCTGCGCTCCAGACGCAGCTCCTCAGCCAATCAGCGCCCTCCTCACGCTCAGCTTCAGCCAATCAGCGGCCTCCTCACGCTCAGCTTCAGCCAATCAGCGCCCTCCTCTGAGCGCGCACGCACCTCGCATCAGACCCGCCGTTTCACTCCGGGTCCGTGCGCGCGTCAAAAGATCCCGGAGAGTTTGGACACGAACCCAAATGTTGACTTTTGGCACGATACGGAGTTGGCCAATGCGCTTTTACGCACAGCGGCTCCGGTCCAGATACGCGCCTTTGTGCACAGAGACACACACACAGAGATACGCACAAGTGACTCAACAGCAGGAAACACTGAAGGATTTGTCAAGACTTGTTTAAGAATTTTATTTTGGGGGCGTCTTTCCAACAAAAGCGTAAGAAAAACGGAACGTGAGCGCGGCACGTCTGCGCGGATTTTATTGCGTCTGTTCTGTTGCCAGAGCGGTTACAAAACTCCGCTCTTCTGTCTCTGTCTCTGTTTGTTCTGCAGAAATCTCCAAAAGTCACATTTCGTCCCGTTCGTCCTCGGTCCGGTCCTGGATCCACGTACATCAGGCTGCATCATTTGCCCCAATGTCAGAAATTCAACTTATAACCAATTTTAAAATGTGATAATACTAGTTAAAAGAAAATCTGTGGAATATTTGCTCAGTTGAAAAGCAGTTTCACTTAGAAACCGTGTGACCTCGCAGTATTAGGATTCGTTCACTCGACGGTAGGCAGGCTTTTTTTTTTATTTATTTAACCAGATTCAGAAAACTTTATTGATCCCATAGGACAATTCATCGGTAAATGGTCACATTTTTCTATAGCGCTTTTCCACCTTCAAGGGACTCAAATCGCTTTACAACAAGGAACCACTCACCCATTCACTCACACATTCACACACCAGTGTACGCAGACACTGTGGGCAAGGTGGGTTAAGTGTCTTGCCCAAGGACACAACGACAGCAGCATTCATCTGTGGGAGCTGGAATCACACCAGACAACCTGTGGGTCAGTGGATCTGAACCGAAGCACCAACATTATTTTAACAAGAAGAAACGAGAAACATGATCCAGGAACGAAATTCATTCAGCTTTAAAATCAGAATAAACCAAACACTTACTTTGGAATTAAATTTAATTCCGAATAATGATTTTCATCAGGAATTAAGAGTTTACATGGTCTTTTTAAAGCCAAATTAATTTTTATTCAGAATTAAATTATTTCTATTCACATAAACGTGGTAACTGTGGTGCTGGGCTCTCGTGTTGTTTCATGGAATTTAAAGGAACTGAATGTGTCTGCGCTCTTCCTTTTTAAAAAGGTTCTATTAAGGTTTTGCGTGTGTTGTGTCAGTCACGTGATTTAATGTTTTGGCGTCGGTACTGGAGGTCAAATGGTCACATTTTTCTACAGCGCTTTTCCACCTTCAAGGCTCAAAGCGCTTTCTTTACAACAAGGAACCACTCACACATTCACACACCAGTGTACGCAGACACTGTGGGTGAGGTGGGTTAAGCGTCTTGCCCAAGGACACAACAACAGCATTCATCTGTGGGAGCTGGAATCACACCAGCCAACCTGTGGGTCAGTGGATCTGACGCTCAACCTGTGATGTTTATGAATGCTCCACCAACTGAGCTACTGCCGCCCTGTTAGCAGCATCGCAGAGCAGTTCACACAAACACAAACACACACACACACACAACACACACACACACACACACACACACAGTGATTCAGTCCGTTACAGTCGACCAGTGGAACTCAATAATAATCTACAAATGACAGAGCTCAACATTCAGAAAACTGTTCCCTTAGAATTTAACAACTTAATAGCAGAGGCACAAAAGAATTCGAGAACCGGTTTGTCTTTCGTATCGGAGCATAAAACCGACGCCCTGAAGGCATCAGGATAAAAAGGAGCTGAGCCACGAGACACTTGGCTTCGCTCAGCACCTGCTCCTCCCACAGACACTCAGCTCCCTCAGTTTGACCCTGTGATTTTCGAGCAGGTTTTTGATTGGTCGCTGCTGTTTGGTCGTAATGCTCCAAATCCTGTAGGAATAAGAACAAAAACGTCTTTCCTCTTGATAAAATTCACCAAACATTCTCTTTGTTCTGACTTTAAATCCTCGATCTCGGGAATCATGGACAACACAGAATGTCTGGCTCTTCTCTGATTGGCTGGTGCCCGAACTCACACTTCTGGGGTTTTTGTGAACTGTCTAGTGCAGACATGTCAAGCTCAGGCCTGAGGACCAAATTTGGCCGACAATATAATTATATTTGGCCCACAAGATCATGTCAAATCTGTATTAGAGCTACAGATCGACTATAGAGACATGATTTATTTAAAATGTTGTTATGATTTTATATTCTGCTTGTTCTGGATTCAATGTTTAAGCAAAACTATTATTAAACATTTATTTGAATAAGTAAAAGTTTTATATTACAGATCTGGAAAGAAGAGAAAACATGCAGATGTTGTTGACATTTTTCAATAAATATTTAGTTTGTGCCACGACTTAGTCCCAGTTTTTAATTTTGGCCCAATGTGAATTTGAGTTTGACTCTCCTGGTCTAGTGTTTTCTGATTCCTGACCAAGTCGCTGGAGAGAAATGAACTTGAGCGGAGGAACTGGGCGGCGTCAGACTGGATAGTCCATAAAGCTCTGGCAGAAAAATCAGTTTTTGTCAAATAACTTTAAAAATAAACTATTTAGAGCCATAGTGTCAGTGAAAGTTGAATATAAATGTTACTATTGTGCTTCTTAACTTTCTAAGATATGAAAAATTTGTCAAGATTTTGAGTGTTTTTTTTTTTCATAATGATCCAAAATCCACAAAGTCCAAAGATGAAATGAGAGACATAAAGTTTGTTCTTTCTGTCGTGTCACAGACTGTAGAAAAAGTAGAGTAAGTGTCGTCCCCAGAGCGTCTCAATAACAGGTGCAGCAGGGAAGTTTCCAGAAAGAATAAGGATGTTATTAAAGAAAAACAGATTTTTCAGCTCAGGTTTAAGGTTTCTGCAGGTGTTAAAGTTCAGAGGCTTGGTGGAGCCAGGTCCCGTTCACACTAGTGTGTATGTGAGTGGTTTTGGTTGTGGGTGCAGTGCTCGTTCACATTAATCCAACTGAAAACGGCTCCAGAGTCTGAACGATCTGGTGCCTCCAGCTCCACGAGTTCATGTTGGTCCAGATGTGATGGGGACTGTGTGGACTCCTGAAAACTCTGATACTCTGATGTAGTTCTGTCACCGCCAACTCATTCACCCACAAAACACTAAGAGACAGAATATGTGTCCATTCATATAAATGTGTGTCTGTGTGTACGACCTGCACACGTATAAACTCTGAAAAGTTTCACATGAACCAGAAACACATAACAGACTCACCATCAGCAGAACATCCCTCTGTCACAGACAGAACACTCATATTCCACTGAGTCACTGTGTCCTTCAGACCGACAGAAACTGAACCACATCAGACACAAGGAAAGAACTGATTTTTTTTTTATTTTTGATTTTTTTTTTGAGGCTTAGTTTATGTAAATGAGTCATGTGGTTTTAACCCTCTCAGGCTCAAATTTAATTTTAGGAAAAAATCTGATATTTGGGGAAAATAATCATATGTGTAGTAATATACAATCCTGACTTTTTTTTTGAGAGAAGACCTTCACATGCAGTGTGTTCTGGGATGTTTCAGATTTGCAGCATTGGTCCGATGTGGTAAATTAAGACTGAAGACTGAAAATGATATGAACACTAACTTTATGTGTGAACCACTTTTCATAACAGTGAAAACATAAAGCAGAGTGGAACAGCTTTACAGCGGCACAACAACAGCACTTTTTCCTGTGGTTCTCCAAGAAACAATTTTTATCCTTTGTAAACAACAAAAGTACTTTGCACTTCTGGCAGGTCGTTTGTGTGGAGCATCGTCCACGTTTATCAGCACGGATGGGAGAAAAGGCTCCTGAGTAAAAAAAGGTCATAAAATATGGATTTGGAGTAAGTAGGTAATTGGCAATTAGTTGTTGCAAATCTGCAACACTTGCCTTAAGTTTTGTTTCTGTAAAACTTAAATCTGCTCAAAGTTGTGTGGATAGTGAAGACTTGCAGACATAGAAACGACGTGTCTGGACGCAGATCGTTTCCGATACGATGATACGCGGATTCGTTTCAGTGTAAACGGGGTCCCAGTAGCCAGTCTGGCGCCACCTAGTGCCTCCGCTCAGTTTCATTTCTCTCCAGTGACTAGATCAGGAATCAGAACACACTAGACAAGTTGCAAAAACCCCAGAAGTGTGAGTTCGAGCATCAGCCAATCAGCGAAGAGACAGACATTCTGTGTTGGCAGCGATTCCCCCAGATCGAGGATTTAAAGCCGGAACAAAGAGAATGTTTGGTGAATTTTATCAAGGGGAAAGACGTTTTTGTTCTTATTCCTACGGGATTTGGGAAAAGCTTAATACACCAGTTAGTCCCGCTAGCGGTGCGTTACATATGTCATGACCAAATAACAGCGATTGGTTAAATTTAAAAAATAAAAATAAAAAAGCACCCGCCTACTGTTGAGCGAACGAATCCTACCTGCTGCGAGGTCACATGGTTTACACCAGGAGTGTCAAACTCACTTTGTTCCGGGGGTCGTGTCCAACCGACTTTGATCCCAAAGTGTCTGGATCTGAAAACTCATGTCATATAAACCCCAAAAATAACAAGAAGTTCAAATATTTGTGTAGAGAAACACAAATCTATTACAGAAATCTTTTTTAATTGATGAACTCTTTCTTTTACAAAATATTATAATATTATGAACAACCTGAAACTTTAAGAAAAATACAATTTCAACACAAAGTTTTAACATGAACTTGTATAAACAGGAATAAGTCCATTTTTGTTGTAAAATCCTGCACTCGGCTCCACTTTTCTCATGTTGGACATTTTTCTGATGAGGGTGTCACGGTCAACAGTCAAAACGATCGTCCTTTAAGAGCGTTTGGAAAGAGACAAGTCTTCATTTGTGCTGCTCTGGTGGGAGGGGCCACGTACAGAGACGCTGGAGACGCTGCTGTGATAAACACCACAGAAAATTAACACGATTTTAATAGAAAATATCATTAAAATATTTGAGTAGAAAATCAGCCGAGGGCCAGATTAAAGGTCTTGGAGGGCCAGATCTGGCCCCCGGGCCATATGTTTGACACCTGTGGTTTACACCAAGTGAAACCATCTGATGAATCAGACTAGGGTCCAGTAAACACCAAGAGAATTTCATGAAATATCTCGTAGAATTTTACTTTTTTAGTGTAAAAAAATGATACAAGGTACAGATTTATTTTCAAAAATGTTTCAAAAAGTTGGGCAGATGATGCTCCCTACAGGTCCTGTCTCATCTCCAGGGTCATGCTCACGTTTCAGGACCACAGGCACAGGGAGAACATGCAGCCTGACAACGGTGCAGCTTCGTTTGCTCAGAAGAGGAGGGTGAGGGGTTTTTAATCATAGCTGGTCTCCCTCGGGTGCTGCCGGCGTCTCCCTCGGGTGCTGCTGGCGTCACCGGCCTTAGACTTCGATCAATAAACAATCCATCATTTTGACAATTAAAACCCTGAACGCTGCACAACATCAGATTAAAGCCACACTGTGTCACTTTCTGGAGGTGGCAGCTCATCTGTATGATCCCATGGAAGAACTGGCTCTCTTCTAAGCCAAATAAGAGTCGGGTTTGTGGAGATGCGAGCCCCGTCACAGTTCAGTTTAGTTTTTCAGTTCAGTAAACAGAACCAACACACCAAGATTTTGTCTATTTTTGGCTAAAAAGTTACATATGGAGGCTTTAAATCTGTGTGTCATTCGTTCATTTGTTTTTCAAAATAAAACCAAAAATAAGAAAACGAAAAAACAACAATTTTCTTCATTATTTGTCTCCAAAACCAAAATGAAAAAACTGATAATGATTTGTTTTTTCAGTTTTTGATTTTGTGTTTAAATGAAAAATTGATTTTTCCATTTTTCTTTTGGACTGATTGGACTGACTGAATTTTTCATTTGGATAATGGACTGAACCAGAACTAAACCAGGTTCGACCAGGACTGAGACTGGCACTGAGACAGGGACTGAGACCAAGTTTGAGCCCTGGACCGGGACCAGACAAGAAGTGAGCCCAGGACTGAGACTGGGAACAGGACCAGGACTGAGACCAGGTCTGACCAGATTGGAACCAGACTGGGACTGAGACCAGGACTTAGACTGGGACCAGAGCAAGACTGAGTTCAGGACCAGGACCAGGACTGAACCAGGTCTGACCAGACTGGAACCAGACTGGGACTGAGACCAGGACTTAGACTGGGACCAGAGCAAGACTGAGTCCGGGACCAGAACTGAGACCAGGACTGAGATTGGGAACAGGACCGGGATTGAGACTGGGACTGAGATCAGAACTGATCCCAGAACCAGACCAGGACCAGGTCGTGATTGAGACCAGGACTGACACCAGGACCAAACCAGGACCAGACCAGGACTGAAAACAGTTTAGTCCTGGTTCAGTCCACTATCTATTTTATTTTTATATTTTTCATTTTTCATTTAAATAAAAAAAAAGAAAACTGAAAAAATGAATAATTTTAGTGTTGGAGACAAATAATGAAGAAAATATTTTTTTCATTTTCTTATTTTTGGTTTTATATTGAAAAATGATACACTGATTACTTTAATATGATTGATTCAGATTTGTTATGTATATTTTGGTAACAGTTTGTGTTTGAGACATAAGAATATTCTATTATTTCATTAAATAAAGTAAAAAGTACATTTCTGTGGTACTGGTCCTAACAGGATAATAATTTGTGTCCACACAGCAGGTCCGAACATCGTAATAAACAGTAATAAAAGTGTTAAAAGTGTAAATTTCTAATCAGAGTATACATTATATAAGACCAAATAAACATAAATTTACACAGAATGAATGTCTGTATGTTTGTCTGTGTGTAAAAGTACGTTCATGTGAGTGAAAGTGTTTGGTGTTTGCTCAGTGACACAGAAGACAAAAGGAGGCGGGTGATATTTTGGATAAAAACCTGTATTTACAGTGGATCGTACGAACAGCAGTTATGGCAGAAGCTCAGACTGTACAGCTGCAGCTCCAAAAACTCCTCATCCAAACATCCAACACGGAACCTTCCACAGAACCAAATATGGCCACCGTAACCATAGCAACTGATCTGAAGAACACGCGGAATGTAACACGTATAATGTCAAACATCTGTGTACGGTCTGGTGTTTCCTATAGACTGTGTATATCTGCATACAGTCTATATATAATGCTACAATATATATAAATCTGTATACGGTCTATAATGTTAACTATAGACTGTATATATGTGTATACTGTCTTTAGTGTATACAGATATATACAGTCTATAACCTTACCTATAGACTATGTATCTGTATACGGTCTATAACATTACCTATAGACTGTATATATGTGTATACTGTCTATAGGTAAAGCTATAGACCATATACAGATATATACAGTCTACAGGAAACACTACAATATATATGTGTATACAGTCTGTGGCGTTACCTATAGAATCTATATCTGTATACAGTCCATAGGTAACGCTATAGACCGTATACAGATATAGACAGTCTAAAGGTAAAGCTGCAGAATGTATACAGTTTTTTTACAGTCTATACGTAAAGATATAGAATGTATACAGATATATACAGTCTATAGGTAACAATACAATATATATCTGTGTACAGTCTCTGGAGTTACCTATAGATCGTATATATCTGTATACAGTCTATGGCAGTACATTTTGACTGTCTGTCTGTTGTTACCTATAGACTATATATCGTTCTATATATATTCTATAGTTTTATCTTTAGACTGTATATATCTGTGTACAGTCTATAGCGCTGCCTTATAAATTGTATATATCTAGAAACAGTCTGTTTTTACCTAGACTCCATCTGTACACGGTCTATAGGAAACAATACAATATATATGTATATACAGTCTATGGAGTTGCCTATAGACCGTATATATCTGTATACGGTCTGATGTTACCTGTAGACTGTATATATCTGTATAAAGTCTGTGGAGTTCCTATGGAAGATCATTTGTTTCATCAGATTTTGAATTTTAAACGCTGTTGAATTTCTCACTTTGAAATTTTTTCCTCTGAAAAAACATGTTTGAATTATTTTTATTGTGAATTTTTGTTTGTGAAATTTTCAGTGTATAAAATTCAATATTTAAAAAATCACCTTTTAAATATTCAGCACAAATATCTTCAAGCCTTCAAATTCAACAGTCAAAATTCAGAGTGTAAAATTCGCAGAAAAGATCTGAGATGCCAAGGCAGAAGCAATCGATCCAAAGTGATTCGATCTAACTTAGTAAGAAACAGGAAATGTTGCAGTGACATGATCTGATTGGTCAAAATTAACCTCATCAAAACTCCATCTCTTTGATTGGTTAAGTGTAAACCCCGCCCACAAATGAGAACAGCCAATAGGAAACGGCCTCTGTCCTCCTCGCTCATATGTCACATGATCGATTGCTTCTGCCTTGGCATCTTGGCTCTTTGCCGTGAAATTTTTCACTGCGAAGTTTACGTTCTGAATTTCGACTGGTGAATTTTTTTGAGGGCTTGAAAATATTGTTTATTTTGAATTGAAAGTAAACTTCAAATTTCAGCCACTAGAATTCGGAATAAAATATTTCAAACATCTTTTTTCAGAGTTAAAAAAACAAACATTATTATATAACAAATTATCTTCCATATGTTCCCTATAGACTGTATATATCTATATGCAGTTACCTATAGACCGTATATATGTGTATACAGTCTATGGTTAACAATACAATATATAATTATTTGTATTATTATTATTATCTATTTACTTATAGACAAAATATATCTGTACACGGTGTATGAAGTTACCTATAGACTGTATGTATCTGTATAGGGTCTATAGCTTTACCTATAGACTGTATATATCTTAAAGATGCACTGTGTAACTTTTCTTGGGAGGAAACGCCACGCGCTAGTCTCCATGTCGACGCACTTAAGTGTTCAGCCTGGAATGTTTCACGGAGCGGCATTAAACCCCATTAAACTCTATCTCCATGGAGACAAAGCGCAGACCAGTTCTGTGGAGAGGCGAGCCCGTTCACACAAGAGCCCAGGTACTTCAAGGTTTTCTGAACAATAAAATCACCTCCAGTGAAACAAAGGCTGAGTAGAGTTTTAAACTGCCACATTCTGGAACATGCCAAGCAAAGCAGTAACACCCCCTATGTCTATGCGGCGCAACCTCCAGCAGAAAAGTTACACAATGCAGCTTTAAACCAGTGGATGGCGTTGCCCTGAGTCCAGAGTTAAAGGGACAAAAGTGGTGAATGAGATTTAGGAAAAAAAACAAAAACAAAAAACAACAACATGAGCAAAACCTTCTGTTTAGTCTAAAGATTTAAGTCGAGACACGTCGGGGGAATTTTTATTTTTCAAGTTTTATCTCTAGATTTAAACGTGAAATTATAAGTCTGTAACTAACTCGCTGTTTTGGGTTCATTTCAAATTATTCTGACTGGAAATAACCATAAAAAATTTTTTCACGTAAGAATTTATTTATTTATTTATTTTTAGCCAAACAAAAAATATATAGATTTTTTTTTAAATATTAATATATATTTTTTTTAATTTAATATGTTTTTTGTTGATGTTTGTTTTGTTTATTGTATATTTATAAATGTTTAAAGTGTACATTTTTTTCTGCCAGTAATCTAAAAACAAAGATTAAAACTGGTGCTTTTCTGAAATTTTAAATCCAAAGGAGCTCAACAGTCTCGCCGCTTCGAAAGTTCTGATTCTGGAATTAAATTTTCCATTTATTTTTTCCCACAGACTTTTCAAAAATGAAAATATTAAGAGTTCAAAGGCATCGGCTGTTTTAAAACCAACAATCAAATTTAAAACGATTCCGTGACACGTTTTAATAACTTTGTGGTTCATAAAGTTTCAGAAAAGAGTTTAAATTAAAAGTTAGAGATCTTGTGTTCATTATTTCCACAGAGATGATTCGACCTGAGCTTCCAAACTTCATATTTATTTGTTTTAGAAAATCTGCGGGAAAAATAAACGGTAAATGTCCTGGACCGGAACCGAGACTGGGACCAGACTAGGACTGAAAACAGTTTAGTCCTGGTTCAGTCCTCTTTTAGTCTTGGTTTAGTCCTAGTTTAGTCCTGGTTAGTCCTGGTTTAGTCCTGGTTCAGTCCTGGTTCAGTCCTGGTTTAGTCCTGGTTCAGTCCTGGTTCAGTCCTGGTTTAGTCCTGGTTCAGTCCTGGTTCAGTCCTGGTTCAGTCCAGGTTTAGTCCAGGTTTAGTCCTGGTTCAGTCCAGGTTTAGTCCTGGTTTAGTCCTGGTTCAGTCCTGGTTTAGTCCAGGTTTAGTCCTGGTTCAGTCCTGGTTCAGTCCTGGTTCAGTCCTGGTTCAGTCCTGGTTCAGTCCTGGTTCAGTCCTGGTTTAGTCCAGGTTTAGTCCTGGTTCAGTCCAGGTTTAGTCCAGATTTAGTCCTGGTTCAGTCCTGGTTTAGTCCAGGTTTAGTCCTGGTTCAGTCCTGGTTTAGTCCTGGTTTAGTCTTGGTTTAGTCCCGGTTCAGTCCTGCATCACAGTTTAAGTCACGTAAACAGAAAACGGTCATTATCCGTTTTTTTTTTTTTCATTTTTCATTTAAACACAAAATCAAAAACTGTAAAAACGGTAAATGTCCGTCCCCGTCGAGCCGCGTCCCCCTCGGTGTCTCGCCGTCAGTGGTTTTAGAAACGGGACGGTGTGAAAACGACACAAAACGGCGGCTCTAAGGCAAAAAAAGCTACACGTTTAGCATCTGCGGCTAAAGCTAATCCAGTGTCGTTTTGAAAAGTACCTGAAATACGTCACATTCACGTCTGCGGCTAAAAGTCTTTGGAGGCTCTAGAAGCACCTTAGGTTCAAGAGTTACAACAGAAATGTGTGAATTTAAATGTTATAATCTAGTCTAAAGAGTTTTATGTGAGAAAAGGAGGAGCAGGTTTGTTGAAATAGATTAAAGTGACCAAAACGCTAATGCTAACGCTAAAGCTAATGCTACTTTCTGCATCTTTTTTTTTTTTTTATATCAGAATTGATGTAAATTTTTGTAAAACGGTCAGATTCATCAGCGCTGCTCATCGTTACAATAAAAGTATCGGTTACTGAAGCTACACAACAGTTTGGTCTCCGGTTCTGAATCTGTGTGTCGTTCGTTCATTCGTTTTTCAACATAAAACCAAAAATAAGAAAACGAAAAAACAACAATTTTCCTCATTATTTGTCTCCAAAACCAAAATGAAAAAAAAAAAAAAACAGATAATGATTTGGGGTTTTTTTCAGTTTTCGATTTTGTGTTTAAATGAAAAATGGAAAAAAAAAAAAACTACCGTTTCCCGTTTACGTGACTCCCGTGACTGAACTGAACCAGGACTGAACCAGGTTTGGGACCAGACCGGGACTGAGACCATGACATAGACCGGGATCAAGGACTCAGTCTGGGACCAGGACTGGAACTGAGACCGGGACTGAGACCAGAATTGAGACCAGGATTGAGAGCGGGACCAGACCGGGACCGGGACTGGGACCACACTAGGACTGAAAATGGTTTAGTCCTGGTCTAGTCCTGGTTCAGTCCTGGTTCAGTCCTGGTTTAGTCCTGGTTCAGTCCTGGTTTAGTCCTGGTTCAGTTCTGGTTTAGTCCTGGTCTAGTCCTGGTTCAGTCCTTGTTTAGTCCTGGTTTAGTCCTGGTTTAGACCTGGTTTAGTTCTGGTTTAGTTCTGGTTTAGTCCTGGTTCAGTCCCGGTTTAGACCCGGTTTAAACCCGGTTTAGTCCTGATTCAGTCCTGGTTTAGTCCTGGTTCAGTTCTGGTTTAGTCCTGGTTTAGTCCTGATTCAGTCCTGGTTTAGTCCTGGTTCAGTTCTGGTTTAGTCCTGGTTTAGTCCTGGTTAAACCTGGTTTAGTCCTGGTTCAATCCTGGTTCAGTCCCGGTTTAGTCCTGGTTTAGTCCTGGTTTAGACCTGGTTCAGTCCTGGTTCAGTCCTGGTTTAGACCTGGTTTAGACCTGGTTCAGTCCGGCATCGCAGTTTAAATCACGTAAACGGGAAACGGTCGTTATCGTTTTTTTTTTGTTTTTTTTTTCCATTTTTCATTTAAACACAAAATCGAAAACTGAAAAAAACAATCATTATCTGTTTTGTTTTGTTTTTTTTTCATTTTGGTTTTGGAGACAAATAATGAAAGAAAATTGTTATTTTTTCGTTTCTTATTTTAGGTTTTATTTTGAAAACCAAACAAACGAACGACTCACGGGTTCTTCTGTTTCGCTGGTGAAACGAGCTCTAAACTAAAAGCTCCACCAAAATAAAAACCCAAGAGTGAAACGACTGTGGAACTTTACAGCGAAAACACGATTGTCCAACTGTTCAAATGAATTCAGAACATTTTCAAACACATTTCTTTAAAAGTTTTACATTTTTGTTATTTAGTTAAACATCTGTTTTTGCTTCAACTGTTCTTAATATTAGTCGTTAAATGTACTTCTTTAATTAATTCAGTAGACTAAGATTTTCTGACTTTTTGAAATGCCGACAAAGTTGAAAAGAAAAAAAAAAAAGAAGTAAATCACAAATATCTTGAAATAATATGAAGCTAAATAATCTTAAAGAGGGGGTATTACATTTCTCTGGGGTTTTCGTCGTAAAGGCCGAAGTTTAGTTCCGCGTCGACTCATCGTGCGCCGTCGCCGCCGTGGTTTTTGATTTACGGTTCGATCGGCGACAATTTTAATTTGGTGTTCGTGTAAATAAAATGAAGCGGGAAAGCGGAGTACTGGAAATTTCTGTAGATTTAGAAAAATTTCTGTTATTATCTGTGTTCGTTTGATTCGTAGTTAGAAAATTTCAGAAGTTCACGGCGACGCAAACGATTTTACGCACGACCGTAAATTTGGCTTAACGCATCACGTATTTAAATCACTGTGTTCCTTTTATTGTTTTTGAAAATCCTGCCAAACTTTGCCAAAAACAACGTGTGAACATATTTTATAGGCTTCCCTCTCCGTGCTAAGTCACTCCCCCTTCAGAGCGCGATTGCAAAACAGTCCGCTAACGAAAGTCCTGCACGTCGCATCAGGTTTGTGGAGTCGCTGAATCCAAATATATAAAACCAAAAATAGGAAAATGAAAAAACAACTATTTTCTTCATTATTTGTCTCCAAAACCAAAATGAAAAAACAGATAATGATTCGTTTTTTCAGTTTTCGATTTTGTGTTTAAATGAAAAATGGAAAAAAACGGATAACGGCCGTTTCCCGTTTCTGTGACTTAAACTGAGATTCTGGACTAAACCAGGACTGAACCAGGACTGAACCAGGACTGAACCAGTGAACCGTGTTCAGTCCCGGTTTGGTCTCAGTCTCAAGTCCCGGTCTCAATCACAGTCTGGCCCTGGTCTGGTCCCAGTCTGGTCCCGGCCTCTTGGTCCTGGTCTCAGTCACGGTCTTGTCCTGGTCTGGTCTCAGCCTCAGTCCTGGTCTCAGTCCTAGTCTGGTCCTGGTCTCAATCACAGTCTGGTCCTGGTCTGGTCCCGGCCTCCTTCCCGGTCTCCCTCCCGGTGTCAGTCCCGGTCTCAGTCACGGTCTGGTCCTGGTCTGGTCCCAGTCTAAGTCCTGGTCTCAGTCCTGGTCTCAGTCCTGGTCTCAGTGCTGGTCTTTGTCCCGGTCTGGTCCTGGACCTGGTCCAGTTCTGGTTTAGTCCGTTATCCGTTTTTTCCATTTTTCGTTTAAACACAAAATTGAAAACTGAAAAAACGAATCATTATCTGTTTTTTCATTTTGGTTTTGGAGACAAATCGTTGTTTTTTTCGTTTTCTTATTTCTGATTTTATTTTGAAAAACGAATGAATGATTGACACACGGATTTCGCTGTGTACAGTTTTTATATATTTACGTAGAATTGTCGTGCGGGAGCGTGAGTGACGTAGGTTTGTGGGCGGAGCTTCGTACAGACTCGTACTGCTAACCGTAAGAAGGGTTTGACCGGGAGAGATCGCTAAATTACTCAAACATGCACGGATGGAAAAATATAAATATAAATACCCCCTCTTTAAACTGTCACAGAAATCAGTTTTTCGTTCATTTCAGTAGAATTTTTGAAGTTTGATTGTCAAACTGCATTTTTTTCTCTCTGTACTCGAAGTGATTTTGTGCTTTTCAGGTCAAGTATCTGTCAAAGAGTCAATAAATATAAAATTATACATAGATTTCATTCAAAAATCAGCTCAAAATTACAGTGTGATCGTCTGAGAATCTACAGCAAAAGCTCAAATATATTAATCTGGAAACATGTGCCTCTTCAGCTTAAACGTCTTCATTTATCGTACAAATATCTATTCTCTTCAAAACTATAAATAAAAGTTCATATTTCTGCTATTTTCTTCTACAAAAGTACAGTTTGGGTCTCGTGGTTCGTGGCGCTCTTTGGCGTCTGAAGCTCTGGGCGAGTTCAGCCGGGATTTTTTTTTTTTTTAAGTTTTCGTACATTCCAGGAAAAAAAAAATCTCCACTCTTCGTCGTCGTCGTCGTTGCATAAGTTATCCGTCCGTCCGTCCTTTTTGTCCTCGTCGAGTCTTTTCTTTCGCAGTTTCTTGTTTTGTGCAGTTTGTTTTGAGGGAGAGATGGCTTCACTTTCACTTTCACTTTCTGCAGCGGCTTCAGCATCAGCAGAAATTCTACGAAAAGAGAAAAAAGCGAAAATGAGAAGATTTAAATTAAAATGCCAAAACCGAATCTCTGACGAATCACCGGTTTGTTTCTACTGATACTTAGACCTGACGTGACGCTGGGGGTGTTCTACGTGTATGTCTACGGTGGAATGTTCAGCACTTATGGCGACACAATGTGCACATTAACAAACAGTGTCAACAAAACTGAACCAGGACTAAACCAGGACTAAACCAGGACTGAATCAGGTCTGAACCAAGTCTAAACAAGGACTAAACCAGGACTAAACCAGGACTAAACCAGGACTAAACCAGGACTAAACCAGGACTAAACCAGGACTAAACCAGGTCTAAAACCAGGTCTAAACCAGGACCAAACCAGTTCTAAAACCAGGTCTAAAACCAGGTCTAAAACCAGGACTAAACCAGGACTAAACCAGGACTAACCAGGTCTAAAACCAGGTCTAAACCAGGAAAACCAGGTCTAAAACCAGGTCTAAAACCAGGACTAAACCAGGACTAAACCAGGACTAAACCAGGTCTAAAACCAGGTCTAAACCAGGACCAAACCAGTTCTAAAACCAGGTCTAAAACCAGGACTAAACCAGGACTAAACCAGGACTGAACCAGGTCTAAATCAAGACTGAACCAGGACTAAACCAGGTCTAAACCAGGTCTAAAACCAGGTCTAAAACCAGGTCTAAAATCAGGACTAAACCAGGACTAAACCAGGTCTAAACCAGGACTGAACCAGGACTAAACCAGGTCTAAAACCAGGTCTAAAACCAGGATTAAACCACAACTAAACCAGGACTAAACCAGATCCAAAACAGGATTTAACAGGACTAAATCCTGCTGTGTGGACGTGTTTCTTCGTCTTGTATCAATAATATTTTTAATTTGGTTCAGTAAAGTCTGGACTTTTTATTTTCTTTTATCAGACAAAACTTCTTATGTTCAGATCCTCGTCTTTGTTTCTCTACAGCAAATCAAGTAATCCAAAGTAATCAGATTACATTACTCACTTTAAATAATTTAATGGATTCTGTTACAAACTACATTCTGGTGTGTGTAATCTGTAATCTGTAGGGGATTACATTTTAAAAGTAAACTTCCCAAAACTGCAAATCGGCCGCAAAAAAGTCCATATTGGTCGGGTCGTAGTTGATGTAAAAAAACTCACTGAGGAGGAGTCTGTGTCGGGCGGGAGCATGTCCATCCCCGCCAGCTGCTCCAGGATCAGACTGCTGTCGCTCACCTGCCACAAAAACACACAAAAACACGTCACTAAACTCTGGGATTTAAACTGAAAATGTAAAATATAAAGTGATAAGCCCGCGCCGCTCCTCACCGGGTCGCCCGCCATCGCCCCGACGCCGCTCATGTTCACGCCCGGGTCTGAGTACAGGAGGCCGGGCTGAGGGAACGACTGGCCCTGGTACAGACTCAACACAAGAAGAAAAAAAAAACACATGAGAGGAGTTTCAGTACAGCGACACACTTCTCTACTGTCTGTGTTTAAAGCTGAGGTCTGACAAAATATCTGTTTTCACCTTCCCCCTGTCCCCGCCCACAGCTCTGTCACTGGAGCTCTTGGAGAATAGAAAAAGAGACTCTGGTTCATTCAGAAATGTGTGAAAATTGTTTCTAAAAAAGTATTTTAAAGGTTGTATGGAGGATTTTTTTTTTCAGTTTCAAATTGTCAGTGAAAGTTTAAAACACCATTACAGAGACGCAGCAGCTTTGTAATTATGATGACCAAAAAAAAAAGAATGAAAATCGATCAACCGTGGACGTGTTGAGGCCAGAGAAACATCAGCCAATAGAAAACGAGGCTCCCTCATTTTCTATTGGCTGTTGGGTTGTCAATCAAACTCCCTACGTTTCTAGTGTAACTGACTCGTCGGCGCGCGGGGATTACGTGGTTTATGCGTCGGTTCTTAGAGGCTTTTTTTAAACTGTCGCTTTCTCACATTTCGTACAAAGTTTGTCGCGACGGCGGACGAGGATCCACGACCAGTTCGCTGCCAAAAAAAGTCGATTTTTGAGGTCGCTGAAAGAAGAAGAGAAGGAGAAAAGATTTACGAGATTCCTTCCAGCGATGGCGCGACTGAAGCAGACGAAGGGTCTAAAAAGTGAAGACGTGTCGGTCGCTGAAATTATTTCTAGACAGGTCACTTCAACAGTAATTCTGAACGCGCACCGGCTGTAAACAAACGTGTGATTTCTAGAGTAAAGAGGCGGGAGGAGATGTTTCTACTGAGGCTGTGGAGGAGGAAGGTGGTGTCACGCATGAACAACATTTGAAAAAGGACTGTGTCTGTATTTCTCTTCCCTTAAAAAATCCTCTATACAACCTTTAAAATACAGTGTTTGTTGTACGCAAAAAACACGGTTCGGCACGTACTTCGGTTTTGAGGTCACGGTTCGGTTCATTGTCGGTACAGTTTGGGAACAAAATACAAGCGGAGATTTCGTGCCGGCGAAAGGCGTAAGTGAGGATCAACGTAGTTTTGCGAGGATTCACGTGGTTCAGAGCAGTGTTGCCATGGTTACTTTGAAATAGTAATCAGACTACTGACTACTGATTACGTCTTTAAAAAGTAATTTAGGAAAATTACTGACTACTTGCTTTTAAAAGTAACTGAGTTAGATTACAAGTTACTTTACGTTACTGTTTTCTTCGCAGCGGATGGGACCGGCTCTGTTAACGTGGTTGTGCCGTTCTGCGTCTCTCGATGTTTCTTTAGGTTTGATGTTGTTTTCTTGAAGCAGACAACACTTTGTCTCCAGCACAGAGTGAACAACAAACCTTTATGTTGCCGTCCTTATCTGAAATAAAATCTAAATAATGTTTGTATTTCCAGCTGCAAAAGTCGTACCTCTCTCCCTCCATTATTTACATCTGACTCGTGACGGAGCGGAGACGACGTAACATCACAGGAAACGTGTCACCAGAGACGATTTATACGATCTTTGGGGTCACATAACGCACGTCGCCAAAAAATAAACATAAATAAATAACCTACGTTGCCGTGAAACACAAAAATAGTAACGCACAGTGTATTACAGAAGTAACTTAAATCTGTCTACTGGTTTGGAAATAGCACTGCGTTAGACACTCGTTACCGAAAAAAGTAGTCGGAATACAGTAAGTTAGTGGCATCGCTGGTTCAGAGGGACGTGGTGAAGTCGGGGGCAGTTGTTGTGAAAGCGGTCGCTCTAACTATAAAGCGCTGAGGGAAACACTGCTCCAATCACGGAACGAATTCCTTGTGAATATTACAGATCTGAGTCTCCATGTAGCTGCACATGTAGTGGAGGAAAATAAACACACACTAATTGCGTGAACTCACTCGTGCGCAGACCTGCACTGAACCCAACGCCCCGTGCCAAAACGGTTCAGCACGAAAACATGAACCGTTACACCACCTTTTTTCTTTTTTTGAGCCAATATCGAGATCCGATATTTAGCCTGCTGCTGTGGCTGTTAAACTGTATTTGCAGATACTGATATTTATTAGAATTTACAATCAATACCAAGGCCTAAAATGTATCTTATGTTGAAATAAAAATCACAAATAAACTTTTCACTTCTGGAAATATAAACAAAATGTATTTATGTGAGATATCAAATACTTTTTACATGTTTGTGTCACATACAGACAATGACACTGTTACATTTCTGTTTTAACTCATTTGTTGTGTTAAAAAATATCTTGAATATCAATGTCAATATTGTCCAATCAGGGTCGATATCAGTCGATACTGATACTGGACCCGATGTATCGCTCATCCCAACAATGAATGATTATTGGTTATTGTTTTTCTCGTCAGACAAAGCCAATAAACCCATTCCTTATTAATTCACTACAAAACTAATAACATTTGTTTAGTTTAGTTTAGTTTTGTAGTGAATTGTATTTGTAGAAACGGAGCTGATTCTCACTTGTTGCCGGACATGTTGCCCTGAGTCCAGCCGTTCATGTCCCCGCTGGGCTGGTGGTACCCGGGGGGGCCAGCGTGGCTCTGGCTCTGGACCTGGTTCTGGACCTGGTTCTGGACCTGGTTCTGGGCCTGGTTTGGTTGGATCATGCTGGAGCTTTGGGCCTGGTGTCTGGGGGAGAGCAGAGGACTAAAACCGGAGGAGTCCTGCTGCTGCTGCTGCTGCTGCTGCTGCTGCTGCTGCTGGGTCATTCCTGCAGGGGGCGACAGAAACGAGTGAGAAAAGTCGACAGGACACCAACAGGTCAGGAAAATAATATTACAAAGTTCAGTTTCTACAGCTGCTCCTGAGGCTGAGCTCTTCTGGACACGTATCATTGCATTTTACCAGCACTATAAATGCCAATTAAAGATGTGAATTGTGTTTTTAAATCCAGATTATTGACACAGGCCACTTTTTAAACCCGTCCAGAAGAGTTCACATCTGAGAGAGACTGAATCCCATTTCAAAACAACAACATCCTTTGTACAGACTATGACCCTAAACATGCATCTCAAATCTGGGACGTTCCGGTCATCGCAATTCACACTGGGAAGGATTTTCCGAAAAAGTGATCATCAAACCTCCATGTTTGTTTTCCCAGTGGGACGTGTTTATTGACAAAGTCGATCTTTTCAAGTCTTTTGAACCAATATCACTTTTGTTTCTGGTTCTGATATTGTCATATTTTAGTTTTGGGATTCGGACATCGTTAATTGTTGTGGTTGTTGGATCCTAACAGCGGAAAACGACTTGAGAAATTAGTTTGTGAACTCCATAAATGCAAAAGTGAATCAGATGTGTGTGACTCAAACCTCTGTTCAAACTGTTTCTCTTCCCAACAGAATTGAAAAATAGTGAAAGGTGAAGGTGATGGGCAGGATTGATCCACAGGAAGAACCAAAAAGGAAACATTTGTCTGACTAAGAAATCATCCTGAGTTTACAGAGAACATTTTGTATGTGGAGCCACGACAAAACAAAATCCGGTTTGTTAATGTTGAGGAGCAGAAGACAAACAGACTGAGCTGCACTTTCTTGTTCTTGTGGTTTTACAGAAACATCACGTCTTGGTCTCTTTGCAGTGGAAGGTGTTTCTTGGTGAACAGTTGGAGCCTTTCACTTTGGCGTTGACTTTTTAAATTCATAACTGAGGTTGAACGAAGGATCGGGATTTTGTTTTGTTGTCGCTCCACATACAAAATGTTCTCTGCAAACTCAGGATGATTTAGACAGACAAATGTCGTCATTTCTTCTCGTCGTTTGTGTTTCGTTCGCTGTATAGGCGAGTTTGAGTTGACGTCGTTGTTATTAAAAGCCCGCGTTGCTGCTGGGAAATATTTTGGTCAGAGGCAAGAAACACGGTAGCGTCAAACACAGTGCGTAACCTCGTGTATTTATCCCCGATAATGGTAAATTCCTGCTGCATTATCGGATGCACAAATAGAAGCACGGAAGAAGGAAAATGTCTTTTTCGTATTCTGAGTGAAAAGAACCGCTAACGGTGAATTAAACGACTTTCAAACATCCGCAGAGCAAACGTAGAAGATCCTAACAAACCGTGGACTCCAACAAGTTCAACAACACATCGAGACTCTTGGAGGTTTTCATCTTTTCTGCTGTGAATGGCCCAGGAGTTTCCACCAAGTCATTGTGGATATCGCCCAAGTGAATATTTGTCCAGGTAGTTGGAGATTCTGACCAGAAATTTGGTTTGTTCCACCTTTTGTCGGGGTTGAAAAGGTGATTTGTCGTCCGTCGATGTTTATGACCAATTTCTGGTCAAATGGTCTTGGGTCCTCTGCCGTTAGAGTGGATAAATAACCGGGATCAATACCTTTACGTGTTTTCTCGCTCCGTCCGTCATGTTCAATTAGTGTTTAATGCCGCCGACCAAAATAATTCCCAGCATGCAACGCACGCTTTTGTCAACAATGAAACTCGCCTATTTGGCATCGGGTCTTGTTTTGTCACATGGCGATTTTGATGTTTTAAACCGCACAGACATCGGGGCTTTCTGCGCTCAGGCTGCGCACACATCCGGTGTGTTGATGAACAAATAATCTGTGTATATTCTATGCTGACATGCTGGTTTACGCGTCATTACACTCAGGAAACAAGAGGAGTCAGAGAGCGAAAGAAACATTTAGACATTCAGACTCTTCGGCAGAGAGAACGACAGAGACGAGGAAAACGAACAAACATGCAAATAGAAATTATTGCGGCCAGAAAAGTTATCGAGCTCATTAAAAGTTTTCGTGCGATTAATTGTTAGTATGAATTAGAATTTTGGAAGATTTGAAAATAGCAGAGAAGGAGACAGAGAGACTGAAACGACTAGAAATCAAACAGAGCAAAACAAAGTGGTGTTAGTAAAGTGAATTCTGATTGGTTGTCTCGGTCGTTGCGTTGGCGTTCTACCTGAGCCGCCGTAGAAGGCGCCGTACGCGGGGGAGAGGGGAGGAGGGGACGGGGCCAGCCCAGTACCGTAGCTGTTCCCCGGGTAGGCGTACTGCTGCGGGGGGGGTCCGGGGGCCAGGCGCGGGTTCGGGGGCCCGGGCGGGGGAGGAGCTCCGGCGGGCGCCATGTTGGAGCCGCGCATCAGGAGCGCCCTCTGCTGGTGGAGCTGCTGCCTCTGACGCAGGTGGTTAGTCAGATACTCGCGCTGTCGCTGCACCATCTGTGCGCTCATGCCCACCTGCTGGAGGGAGGGGGAATTACAGTTATTATTTAGATTTTTTTTTTTACAGTTTTTCATTCTTTTTTTTTTTTTTCGAGGAAGGATGAGCTGGAACTATGTTTTTATATTTTATTTTACCTTTACAACCCCTCAAAATGTTTATGTTTAGGAATTTTAATTAAAACCTGTAATATAAAGTAATAAAAATAATGAAATTCTAATTCATAATAATAAACCTCCTAAATGAATAAAATAATAATATGGTAATTTTAAATAATGAAATTTAAACCAATATTATTAAATGTGATAAATCAATAATATAATTAAAAAAAAAAAAAAAAAGAAGGAAAGACATAAGAATGATGCCTGATCAAAAAAATTAATAAAAAGGGGGTCAAGAAATTATACGTAAACAAAATACTGAGAAAGAAAATTATTATTATTATTTTGTAATTATGATTTACACTAGATCACCTTAAAAAAAATAAAAAATAAAATTACAAACACAGTTATTTTTTCACTCCACTTAAAACTTAAAGCTGCACCACGTCGTAACATTTCTAGAGGATGATCTGCCATCTGAAATGTTATTGCTTTGTCTAGAATGTTCCATCCACAGTGTAGATTAAACCAGGACTACGCTACATTACAGGTCAGATCTGTGGAGAGGCGTCCCTGTTCACAGAAGAAATTATTGTATTTTTGAGCAACAGAAACACCTGTAATGAACAAATGCCAGATGAAAATGTTTAAAGTTTAAATATCATGGAGCATTCAAGGCAAAGCAACAACATCTCCAGACCTGTTGTTTGTTTTTGTACTTGTATTTTTTTGTATTTGTATTTGAGTTTTTGCACAGACCTGGTTTGGGGCGTAGGACCTCATCGGCAGGTTCATGTTGGACACGGCGGCGTTCATCTGACTCCCCATCGGCTGACGGTTCTGCACCAGACACACAAAATAAACAAAACACATTTTTATTTCATAATTAAAACGAAGAATGAGGCTCAAACAGATCAACACTGACAACTTAAAACTTAAAGCTGAACTGCAAATAAAACATTTAACATTAAAGAAGACATTTAGTGACATTATTTAGAATTTCTTATTATCATTTATATTTTTTTCTCTTTGTTATTATATTATATTCTGATATGTGACCTACTTTGTCCAAATAATTTCCGAATAATTTTTATTTTTTTTCTTAAATTTAATTTTAATTCCGAATAAAAATAATTTCATTCTGAATAAACATAATTTAATTCTGAATAAAAATGAATTCCGCTTTAAAAAGACCATGTAAACTCTTAATTCTTCATAATGAAAATGATTAAAATGATCAACAATTTACTTTGGAATTAAGTTTAATTCTGAAGTAAGTTGGTGGTTTATTCGGATTTTACGGAAACGTTTATTCTTGTTAAAAATAATGTTGGTGCTTCGGTGCATGTTCGTTGTGTCGTCCTTCGATCCGGCTCCACCAGTCGTGTCTTGGGACTTTGATCCACGTCTCTTTGGATTTGGATTTGTGAGCAGGATGTGGGAGTGGGCTATCTGTTCCGGATGCCTCCTGGGCGCCTCCCTCAGGAGGTGTTCTGGGAATGTCCCACCGGGAGGAGGCCCCGGGGAAGACCCAGGACACACTGGAGGGACTATGTCTCTCGGCTGGCCTGGGAACACCTCGGGGTCCCCCCGGAGGAGCTGGAGGACGTGTCTGGGGTGAGGGAAGTCTGGGAGTCCCTGCTTAGGCTGCTGCCCCCGCGACCCGGCCCCGGATAAGCAGAAGAAAATGGATGGATGGATGAAGCTTAACATTTTTTTTCCTTAAATGTATTTATTTACTTATTTTTATGATTATTATTACTATGTTTTTGCTTTGTTTTGTTTTTCAATCTGTTATTATTATTATTATTATTTACTACTATTACTATTATTATTCTTATTATTATTGTAAATAAGTGTATAAGTGGCTATTGTTATTGTTCTTTTTCTATATACTAATACTAATACTTGTGCATTTGTCCATTTTAACATATATGTAACCGATTTTGTAACTGCACCATAATGCACAAGCTGTGATGTCTTAAACTTAATAAAAACAAAGTTCAAAAAAAAAAAAAAAAAAAAGAATTATTATTTCCACGTAAAATATTTAAATTCAGAATTTAAAAACATGATGTAAACGTGTTCAGTTTCGTGGCGGGTGGTTTGTCGCTCACCAGTTGTGCCTGGAGTCTGTGCTGGAGCTGGAGCCGCAGGTTGTTCGGCTGGGGGCCCCCGGGCGGGTGAGGGGCCCCCGGTCTGTGCAGGGTGGGCCTCATCATGGGGGGGTAGTTGACTCTCTGCTGCCCCATGTGGCGGTGGTAGGAGGGGTCGTACTGCGTCTGGAGGTGCTGGCCGTACTGAGGAGGCTTCAGACCCGAGTCCGGACCCAAGAACTGGTCCTGGTCTGAGATGGGCCCCTGCAGAGACGAGAGGGGCCAGAGGGGGCGCTGTGAGCGAGCGAAGCATTTCACTCTGACACAAGCAACAATAAAATAAACCCTAAACAGCTTCAACGCAAAAAGCTTCTTCAAATTCTCAACATTTATGAATCTGTTCTTCTATAATTTAAAGGTTTGTTGCTTTGTCTGGAATGTTCCGCAGTATGACATTAAACTTATCCGTCTCCATGGAGATGCCTCAAAAATCGGTGATTGAATAAATGCAAGAAAATAAAGTTGACTGTGACTCTGTGGAACATTACAGACAAAGCAGTGACATCGCCATGGAGACGAGCAGGTGAGAGACGATCACAAGGAAAGTTACATAATGAAACTTTTAAAGCGTCTGTAAGTTTAGTTATTTTTTTTTTAACCAGTAGATGGCAGGTGTGAAATCTCACCTGTCTGACCCTCACCTGTCACACCTGTCACACCTGTCTCACCTGTCCACCTGTCTCACCTGTCCGGCCCACACCTGTCTCACCTGTCTCACCTGTCGTCACCTGTCCACCTGTCCACTGTCCCCACACCTGTCGTCCTGTCACCTGTCCACACCTGTCTCCACCTGTCCCACACCTGTCACACCTGTCTCACCTGTCTGTCTGTCCCACACCTGTCTCTGGCTCACCTGTCTCACCTGTCTGTCCACCTGTCCCCACACCTGTGTCTCACCTGTCTGGCCCACCTGTCCAGTCCCAGCCCACACCTGTCTCACCTGTCGTACCTGTCCACCCACACCTGTCTCACCTGTCTCACCTGTCGTACCTGTCCTGCCAGGGAGGGGATCCCCAGCATCTTGTCGATTTCCTCCAGCCCCTCGAAGTCTTTGAGCACAGAGCAGAGCTGACTCAGCAGCGCCCCCTCGTCTGTGTGCGCCTCACTGCAGCACGACTCGTCCAGCTGAGAGAACGACGACGACCTGAGGCAAGACACACAACACACGTCACACAACACACGTCACACACGTCACACAAACACACGTCACACTACAGACAAACACACAACACACGTCACACAACACACGTCACACAACAGACGAACACACAACAGACGACACACAAACACACAACAGACAAACACACAACAGACAAACACACAACAGACAAACACACACAAACACAGACAGACACACAAACACAACAACAACACAACAGACAAACACACAACAGACAAACACACAACAGACAGACACACAAACACACAACAGACAAACACACAACAGACAAACACACAACAGACAGACACACAAACACACAACAGACAAACACACAACAGACAAACACACAACAGACAAACACACACAGACAGACACACAAACACACAACAGACAAACACACAACAGACAGACACACAACAGACGGGTCACTGCAGCGCGACTCGTCCAGCAGGGAGAACGACGACGACCTGAGGCAAAACACACAACACACGGGTCACACAACAAACAAACACACAACAGACGACACACAAACACACAACAGACGAACACACAACAGATGAACACACAACAAACAAACACACAACAGACACGTCACACAACAAACAAACACACAACAGACACGTCACACAACAGACAAACACACAACAGACGTGTCACTGCAGCACGACTCGTCCAGCTGCGAGAACGACGACGACCTGAGGCAAAACACACGTCACACAAACACACAACAAACAGACACACAGACACACAACAGACAGACACACAACAGACAGACACAAACAAACAGACACACAGACACACAGACAGACACACAACACCCCGGGGACACACGGGGAGTAGAGATGCGTGGATTGCGGTTACAACCGCGGTATCCGCGGTTAATCCGCGGGTCGGGCGGATGACGTGATGAAAAATTATATTTTAATTAAATTCTGGGCGGGTGGCGGTTTAACTACTAAAAAAAAAAAAAAAGTTATTGTTAGTATTGTTAACTACATCTGAAAAGACGAGTGTCATTGTCTGTGCTTGTAGTATGAAGTGTACGTCATGTCCTTAATTAGCCCATTTGACCTTGTTTTTATGTTCTGAAGGTTCAGGTTGTGTCGGGTTATTGATGCCTAAGGTTTAGAGGCACATATTATATGCAGTTTATTTTATTATTTCTAATTTATTTCAGCTGTTTGCCAACACATAAGTGGCTATAGGGTCATATTTATTTAGTTCTGCATATTTTTCTTGCCTATTTCAATTGGAATATAAAGAGGGCATTGCCTGATTTCAATAAAGGTTCATCTGGATGAGATGATCTGTCTATTTTGTTTCGATATCAGTTATATTTTAAAACACACAGACATTATAGCGTAGACTGCCACTCGGGGGATTTAAAACTTAAAGAAAGACCGATGGAGTGAGGCTATGACTTTGAAATAACATCGGGCAATGGCAGAATGTTCAGAATGTAACAACATCCAACATGAAGGCAAGAAGGTTCAAAAATAGCCTAGTTGAAAAACGTTAATTAATTAGCTGCGCAAAAAAACCAGGTAAGTCTGGGGTTGTTACGGACAATTAAGAATCCGAACATACACGCTGAGCGAATTTTGGAATGAATGAGCTATAGAGTTTGTATTTTTATTGAGGCTCCTTAGTTTGTTTGCTGTATGATTGTTCTAAAATCTAAAATCAGTCGGCGGATGGCGGCGGGTGCGGTTTTGAAAACCTTCGGTGCAAAATGGACAGCGGGCGGATGATGAGTTTTGTGTCGCGGTTGCGGATGAAAAAAATAGCCCATCCGCACATCTCTAACGGGGAGGGCATCTGACACAGACCTGTTCTGGTTGCCGTAGTGATCCATGACGCGCTCGGGCCACGGAGCCGTCTGATTGGGCGGCGGCTGAGGGTAACTGCTCTGCATTTCCATTTCTGATTGGACAAAAAAAGGTTCAGATTAAAACCAGGTCATGTTTGTGCTGCATGACACTTTTGGTTTCATTTTTGAGGTGGGCGGGGTTTCCATGGTGCATTCTCATTGGTTCATTTATGTTTGACGGACAATTGAACTTGGAGCTCCTGAAGCTGTTGAAGAGAATCACGTTGTTCCAGAAGAAGCGTCCACCAGAGAACAGTGAATATTAGAAAAACTCTGAGGATCAAAACTTCAACAGGAAACGTCCACAACAGCTTCAGGAGCTTCAGGCTCATCTGTCCGTCAAACATAAATCAGCCAATGAGAGTGCACCATGGAAACCCCGCCCACCTGTCACTTTTGTGCCAAACGAGAAGAATCAGAACCAAAGAAAACAACACCAAACAAAACTGAGAAAGACAGAACAAAAAAAATAAAATACTTTTTTTTTTTGGTATTTTGATTTATAATTTTTTGCTTGAATGTTTTAGTCTACGTTCAGACTGCAGGGCTTAACGCTCAATTCAGATTTTTTTGTGAAATCCGATGTTTTTTCGAGGTCGTTCACATTTCCAGTTAAATGTGACTTGTATGTGACTCCAGTGTGAACATTAAACGGCCCAAAAGAGCCAAGAGTCTTTAACAGTTCATTAACAATATTCTCCTACTTCAGTGCAGAATAGTGACGTTTGTGTCTTGTTGATAACGTGTAGGTGGATGAATGCACTTTGGCCGTTCACACTGAAGTCACATGTTAAAGATCAGATATGTATCAGTTTCAGGAGCACAGCTCCAAGGCTGCGTTCACACTGCACCTGAAGTGACCAAAATCCGATTTTTTGGCCCCTATGTTCCTATATCTGATCTTTTAATGTCAGTCTGAACCACACAGATCCGATTTTTTCAAATGTGACCCAGGACACTTGGATCTGTGCTCCTGAAACTGATACATATCTGATCTTTTGACATGTGACTTCAGTCTGAACGGCCAAAGTGCATTCATCCACCTACACGTTATCAACAAGACACAAACGTCACTATTCTGCGCTGAAGTAGGAGAATATTGTTAATGAACTGTTAAAGACTCTTGGCTCTTTTGGACCGTTTAATGTTCACACTGGAGTCACATACAAGTCACATTTAACTGGAAATGTGAACGACCTCGCAAAAACATCGGATTTCACACAAAAAAATCGTAATTGAGCGTTAAGCCCTGCAGTCTGAACGTAGCCCAAGTGTCCTGGGTCACATTTGAAAAAATCGGATCTGTGTGGCTCAGACTGACATTAAAAGATCAGATACAGGAACATAGAGCCAAAAAATCTGATTTGTGTCACTTCAGGTGCAGACTGAACGTAGATTTAAAAGCTCTTTGATATTTGACTCAAACTTGATTCCACAGACGTCGCTCGTTCAGTCGTCTTCATCCTACAGTCTGTGATAGTTACACTTCACTTGAGTATTACACTTGTATAATTGAGTGACACACGTTTAATGCCACACTGCGGATCATCTCCACGGACACAGGCAGGTGCACAGTGAAGTTACAGAGTGCAGCTTTAAAAACTCATCATGAACCATCAGAACTGCTCCTCACCGTTTCCCATCATCTGCAGGTTGAGTCTGTTGGCCGCGACGCTCCTGCCCAGCGCCGGGTTCATGTTCGGGGCCATTCTGCTCGGGTGGGGCCCCTGGTTCATCATGTGACCCGCGGCGCCCCCGACAGGCCCCTGGTTCATCATGTGGTGACCCGGAGCGCCCCCTACAGGCCCCTGGTTCATCATGTGGTGACCCGGAGCGCCCCCTACAGGCCCCTGAGGACCCCACCCCGGCTGCACGGGCCCGGGACTCATCAGATCTGTGGAAAACAACGGCACATGTGAAGGAGTCAGGGTTTAAAATGTCCAAATGAAAAAACAAAAGGATCCACCGGAGTCACAGAGCAGAACTTTAGAGCAAACACAAAACACACGACCTCTTTATGAACTACTGATGACGGATTTTTAAAAGGGTCAGACTTCCTCCAGACTCAGATTTTCCCACCACAATAAAAAACTTTAAATTCGTGCTGTCAAAAATATCACCTTAAAAACAAGTTAACGCAAAACAAGTTCATTTTTTAATCGCAATATTAAGGTTCTTTGTGACCTAATGAACTTTTTTTTTTTTCATAAACTGTGTCCACTGTTGTAACGTTAGAAAAACTACAGGATCCGGCTGTGAACAGGAACTAGGGACGGGCATTCGATGAAATTCTCGTAATCGATCGTCAGGAGAATTAACAATCGATTATCAATTAATCATTAAAGTTTTTATATTAAAATGATCATCATTATTATTACTTTCTGCACTAATCTGCATAAATAAATTCAACTTTACGACATATAAACATAACGACTCTAGATCCACATCAGCTGTTTGACATTATAATGTGTTTAATTCAGTTTTGTTCAAATCTCACAGAAACAAAACTTAAAACCACATCACTAATTTACATAAACTAAGTGAAGATAAAACTCCAGCTCTTGTGTCGCTGATGTGGTTCAACTTGTGTTGGATTAAAAGACATGACTCAGGTGAATACAGGTCAGTGTGACCAGATTTGTGTTTGTCAAAACCAGGACAGCGTACGGGGGGAGGGGGGCGGGGCCTCGGCATCCACATTGAGCGACTCTCACCTGGAAAAACTTTTTCCCACTGGACACAGAAACATATGTGCTGCTTTATCCACTGTGCACATGGACTCACACTTGTCCCAACGCAACGGAAAGTGTGGAATTTCTTCTACAAATCCTGGTTAAATCCACATTTGTGCTTCGGTTCGTTACAGACTGACCCACTGTTTGTGTCTCGCTCCTTCTGATGCAGAGACACATGTACACACCTGTTTGGTCACGACACACACAGAAACCTAGATTTGGTTCGTTGATTAAAAATGAACGTAATCGATGAAATCTCTTTGCGGTTTATGTTCTCTAGAAATAATCTGCATCTTTTTTTTTTATATTTCCCTTGTTTGATCCTGATGAGTCATTTCCAGAG